AGCAGTACAGGAGTGAATGTCTCTGATGCTGCTTTCAGCACTATTTAGTAAACACTTTGATTCACAGCCAACAGCCTAACGTACTTTTCCATTGTATCTGATACGCTACGATGAAGGTCAGCGCAGTGATTAGGCAGTGAAAGGAATGGTTTTAATCCTCAAACGCTATCTGACATTCATATCCATTTATTTCTTCCGACTTAGGTTTGCATCAGGGGGAGCAGACGGAGATAGAATTTTCCTGCTATACAAAGAGCTATCTATGCTGCTCAGCGGGGTTCTGAATAGGACGATAAAAGAGAAGAGTCAGAGCAAGGATGCAGTTATTCTGTGGGTCCAAATGTGGCCATTCATTCCTCTGACAGCTTGCCTTTTCAGCAATCAGTTTCTCCCACTTACGCAAGCACTTGTGGTTGCATAAGTGAGGTTGCAATGGTTCAAATGATGACTTGGTACCTTCAGGAAATTTTGCTGTTACTTTTGACACGGGCTGTGCAAGTATTTTGGTGTCACTGTGCATCATGTAAACTGCAATCTCCAGTATGACTGCTACACTAAAATTACCACGCAGTCATCACAGTGGATTTGGGCCACAAGTGCAGCTATGGGCCCTCACCACCAGCAGCTCAGGTTCTTCTCTAGACACAACCTTTTAGGAGGAGTTCCTGATTCACCCGTCCGTAAATCCAGCAGGGGATCTTGGTCTGAACTGATGTTCGGCTCAAATATTTGTGTAATTTAATGTAATGTGGGGGACTTACAGATGCAGTCTTCAACCTTCCAATCTGCTCAAAGGCCCATCCCGATAATATCAGAAAAGTTTTATATTTATAAGAAGAAATCTGGATGGTTACGATTATGACACTCCCATTCTGGGCAGCTGTTGCCAAAGAACGCGGAACATTCTTGCCCTTGAGGCTACAGATATTTAAACATATAGTTAAAATCTCACCTCAAGTTCTCACTGAGGAACAGACACAGTGTGTTGACCGCATCTTCCCATTTTCTCACGCAGACTTGTTCAGCCCTCTGCTTTTGTTTTTTTTCCTTTTTTTTCCTCAGTGCAATGTGTCATTACCATTACAGTAAGCTGTTGCTCCACAGTCTTCCTTCTGTTTACATCAGTGTTCCCAAAAGATCATGTGTGGTGCTGCTCTGCTCCCTGACTGCTCCCTCTGGCACAGTAATCTTAACAATATCCTGCAGTGTGTGATGTGCCATTATTTTCCCGTCTTGCAGTGTGTGAGATTAGAGAGAAGAATATCTGTGAAGCTTATGTGTGTGATGCAACCCGAATTTAAAATCTGTTAGGATTATAAAATCTCCAATAGCGTGAGCCTGGCCTTAAAGGTGCTCTGCGAACAAATTATCTTTAGATTTCCTTCATTAATTAAATGATTTGGAAACCTTCATTTATATCTTTGTTTAGTCATCTTCCTCCTTGTCTCTGCTGGCGTGTTATCTTGGTACATTACCACCAACTGTAGATTGGGGTAACAGCACGAAGCCATTGTGGAAACATGCATCATATGTGCTTATGTTCAGCCTCGATCATGAAACACACAGAACCATTTCCCCACTGACCACAAAAACTGCTCCATAGAAGCTACTAGAGGTCAAAAACTCCACAAGGTAACTTTGACACTTGCAGATTAAACTCAAAAGCAGCTCCAAAGCTTACTGGAGTGGAGGAAAGTGAGGCCAGTGCTATACTTCATGCATCTGCATGCACCTAAGAGCCCACATTATGTAAATTTCAGATAGTTTGTGTGGCGATTACAAGGCCAGTATCCTACTGTCAGACGTACAGAACACGTAGATGCCGACCTACAGCGCAAGTATGGAAGTCCTCTCAGCAGACTACTAAACAATATACTAGCAACTACATGTCCACGATATACACAGCTGTCTGTGCTCATTCACATTAGAGTATAATCAAGGCCTCACACTCCAAAGCCACTTCTAATCATCTTCCTATGCTCAACATCTTTACTAAATTGGTGACACTCCTCTGAGCTGTTCCTCAAAAGGCTCCATTTATTCCCCACTCAGGCATTTCATTTGTGGTCTACTTCGAATACTGAGGTAAAGTTGAACGACATGTGCATGCCTCAGTTGCTATAATTGATATCTGCCTACCTGTGCATCTAAAACACTACAGAGAATCCCTGTTCCCCTCTAAACCATGCGGGCTAGCAGGTAACTTAGTGAAGTAGACGTGGTTATTACCATATGTCTACTGCACATTCTACTGAGCCTTAAAAGAACTAAAGGGAAGAACACACTACCTGAGGCACATATGGTGGAAACAAACTGCCAGAAACACAGATCATAAGGTTTTTCTTTTTTGATCAACACTCACCATCACTTGTGGCCAAATGTAGGACAGAGAGGGTGGCACTTGGTGAATCTACTCCTTCAGCCCTCTACACCATGCATCTCCTGATCAATGCATTCTATACCAGTCTCCTCACTGTCTGTCCTTTCCACTAAAGGCTTTTCACCCCAAACAGCAGGGGAGCAGGAAGCAGATGGGTGGCATGATGGGGAAGACAGCCCTGTTCCATTTTGTGCCACAATGAAGGAGAGAGACACCCACCAACAGCCACACTCTATTCACCAGCAGTGCTGAGGCTCGCTGTGCAATCAAAGCACTGATTTGAGTGCCTTGAAATGTATGTAGCTGGAAAATTGGAAGGGATGTGCAAGAAGCTGAAAGTGAATACAACAAAAGCACTTCTTGGCAACATACTGCTGAAGACACACCAAGTACAGTTACGGTTTGAGCATAGTTGTCATTATTTACTGATAAATACACTCTTCAAGTTACAGTAATTGCCACATTGCAGAACTAAGTAAAATACATCCTGAAGATAAATCAAAGTCTAAAGCGTGTTTGGGGCAAGTTTTTAAGACATTTATGATCCATGTTTCTATTGGGAGACGTCATCTTTAGAGATATGTTATTTGCAACTACGTGGTTGCAAAATCTTTGGATTTATCCACAGAACGAGACAGAATTTAAGATGTAATAACACTTGCAACTGGTCTCACAAGACAAAAGATTCAAATATTAAGGATCCTTTGTTAGTATAAACTTCAGTCTTATTTGGCAGTCAAACATTATGTTGAAGTGTTCGCAGATAAACATTTGCGAGCTCATTCATCAAGCCAAAGGAAAAGTCAAGATTAGAGTCTGGTGCTTATATTTTGAGCTTTTGTTGCAAAAGAGCAAATTTTGCTTCAGTCCCCAGCTCGGGGGTCTGATGTGTTTCTGTCACAGACTGGCTGTCAGTCAGAGTTACATTCACATCACAGCACATCAACTGGTACATACAGAGAAATGGAGCTCTTTCGTGGGCAAAAATGATCATAAAGCAGAGATTTATCCAAGGAGAACACTGAACTTCTGCTCTCAACAGAACACTGTCCCAAAGCCAGCCTGAAACATGGCGGATGGGTTAATGGAAAATATAATTCAACATAAAGTATGAACATAATGTGGTTTGCTGGTGGCTAAAATTTAGGTCAGTTAACCTTAAATTAGTCCAGACTGGAGGAGTGTTGCCCTACTTTTTTTAACCCCCATCAAACCACCCCTAATTTATTACATGTATTTTATTTTACAAATTAGGGGTAAGATGTGGGTGTTCTTTCATAACTAATTCTTGACTGGAAAATTGCAGATGGAAAAGCAATGTGTGGTGTAAAACGAAAAATAACCTTTTGTTCAAGTTGAGATATGTTTAAAACAACTTACAGTTTAGAATCATGCTTAAAATTACAACATGTCTGTTTTTTGGTCGGCAGAATGTCACCGGCAGAGGACTGAAGGACTTTAAGACAAAATGTTGAGGCAATTTCTCTGCATCAAATACATAAATGCCCAAATTTTACTGAGCCTATGCCAGAATCAGTTTCAATCTGTGTATAATCACGAAGCCCGAGACGAATATCGGTCATGTTAACCAGTACAGGGCATCAAGGGAAAGTAAAAGCACCATGAATGACTAACAGAAAGCCCCTTAATTTAGCAATCATGCCATAAAAGGCTGACTGTAAACAAGGAAGTACTGAGCACCTGATATGTTATCTGGTTCATAAAACACTGACAAAGTGACAACGGAGGAGTAACGAAAAGGAGGATTCCCATTCACTGACCCACACAAGTGTATCAGACATTAACCTGAACATGACATAGTGTAAAAACTAATAATGACGTAATTCCAAATACTGTTATACGTAACCTGTAAGAGCTAGAGATTATACCAGATAACACATTAAACCTTTAAACATTTTACAGCAGTCTCAGAAAACCAAACAAATTAGCCTATGCTCTAACGTTTTGCTAGTCGTGCCAGATGTCTTTATATATAAAAATGTGGACTACAGTTGTGACAAATGGGATAACTGAGCTAAAATACATTTATTTTAAACCCTTCGCCGTCAGTCCGATCGAAGTGCCACAACGAGGGTAAACGCAGGACACACGTAGGTCTGGAAACGACTTGTTTTACAAGAAGTGAACATATTACTTTAGCCCGCAAGAAAACAAAAAGTCACCTTACGCGTCGTCTTAAGCTCGGAATAGGAAGGACCCATTTTGTTTACATTTTCCACCTGGCTAGCCAGCGTTAGCCTGCTAGCCGCGGAATCAGATTTGTGTAGCAGGAAGCTAATGACTAACTTTAATCGCCCGAAGAGTTGCCGAGCAGCTGAGCTAACGTGCTCGCTAACTCGCTAGATGGTTAAATCGACTACAATGTTTGTCTAAGTTACCTCCTCTGGTCATAAAACTTTATTTGATGTCAGCAGGGGACTTGTTCGGTGCTAGACTCTAACCAGGAAAATTCACAAGCTAACAAAGCTATAAAAAAAAACCACAAAAAAAAACCTGCTAGCTTCTCAACAGCCGCGGAGAGGAGGAAGTTCTGATCTGTGTGATAGTCACCAAATGTTCTCTCGTTCTCACTTTAAAGATCAATCTGAAATATACTGACCTTTTTGTTCCTCACTTTTTCCTTTCACTCCGTCACAGACGTGTGTGCTGGTGTCTCAATTCCCCAGCAGTTGAAAATGTGTAGCAGAAAACTTGGCAGGACAGCTAAGGTACATTCCCCGAGTCTGACTGCCGTCAAGCTGGAGAACGGAACTGAATAACATCCGTACTTCTGGTGCAAAATGTTTTCTTTTCACAATAAGAGCCATGTGTTTGTTTTTTTTAAATTGCCAAACGAGCAATAAAAGAAGTACTCATATTCGCAGCAATTTCATAATGAAACACTCAATTACTGGTAAAAAAATAAAATGAAAAATAGTTAATTTTTAAAAAAGTAAAAGTACATTTGTTGCATCATGTAAACACATAATTACTAGCAAGAAAAAAAAGAATAAATTAAAAAGAATGTATATGTGTAATGCTAGGAGATGATCCATCCATCCATCCATCCATCATCTATACACCCCTTAATCCTCACTAGGGTCGTGGGGGGCTGGAGTCTATCCCAGCTGACTCAGGGTGAAGGCAGGTTCACCTGGACAGGTCACCAGTCTATCACAGGGCTACACTTAGAGACAGACAACCAAGCACACTCACATTCACACCTACGGACAATTTAGAATCACCAATTAACCTCAACATGTTTTGGACCTTGTGGGAGGAAGCCGTAGAACCCAGAGAGAACCCACGCTGCACGGGGAGAACATGCAAACTCCACACAGAAAGATCCCGGGTGTCCTCACCAGGACACGAACCGGCGACCCTCTTGCTGCGAGGCAACAGTGCTAACAACTGCACCAACCTGCAGCCCTTGACAGATTAATGAACCATGAAAATCATCATTGCAGCCCAACTAACAACAAAATAAATGCATACAAGCGCCTTTAAGACTTAAGTAAAGTCAGTTTTATTCCTATTCATTGTACATTTCATGAATTCATACATTAGGTGGATGAGATAGGAAATAGATAAATATATATTTCCCTTCAGCCCCTCATGCAGTGCACACACACACATAAAATGCAACACCTACCACAGCATTTACCCTTGGACTACAACGAATAAAAACACACAATAGTATTCACTAGCTAACTACGAAAAGCCTGAGAGAAGAGAAGTGTGTTTTCTCCTTATTGTAAAACATTTAAAAATAAGTAATAAAGTGCTTATTTTCCCCCCAAGATAATAAGATTTGTCTTTGTGCATCCACAAATTACATCAGACTACATGCTTTTATTTGTGAAACCATTTGGTCAAACTGAACATCTCTGTGTGGTAGCAGCTGTTAACTTGACACGTTGAGAGTCCAGCTGCAGTGGAAACACTTCCCCCCTGTGGCCATTAAAAAGCAGCTTCCCCACACCCCCATCATCCAACATTTATGGGACTCATCTTAACCTGAAGCCTTAAACCTTAAAATCTAAACCTCTCCTTGGCTATAACCTGACCACGAGAACCATCAACTACAACAAAATCCCTAAAATTTAATGGTTTACCGCATGGAAATAAGTGTCTATACATAAATGTATGTGCTTGCAGGCTTCCTAAACTTCATCTTTTAGCCCTGGGATGCTCCTGTGTTTTTAATGCATGTGAAATCTTGTCATGCAAACTCAATGTGTGATATTTTCTCTTTTTCTATGTTGTGCTGATTTCAAATGTTACCAAATTTAAACAGTTTAAAAGTTATTAAAAGCTGTGATCGCATATAGGCAGTAACATTTCCAGCACACGCTTCTTCTAGCTCTTTTATCTTTGATCTCAGCTGTTAAAAATGATAATACCATCTGTCCTGGCTGTTGTAAAACGGAGGTATCATCTCTGTAGGTGTTTTTATGTTGATCCAACCAAGTTTCCTTTTGTTTTCAGTTCAGTTTCTTGGTAACTTGGCTCCAAAAGGGGAGTAAATGGAAGATAAAAGACTGGCCGGTTGAACCATGGTAATAAGTCAGACCTGTCGTAGGTGAAAAGGGAAATGCGGAGCTCTGTAACATTAGAAATGTTGCGTTTGACCCTTTGGCTGACCTGTAATCAGTCTCATACGAATCGGATTACTGAAGTGTACTTTGTCCGGCGCAATGGGCATCACATTTCTGAGTCTTTTGATGTTGTTTAACAAAGAACACGTTGCTGTGAAATCACACAGGTGATGTTATGTTAAAAACTGGTTATTTTAAAAGCCAAGGTGAATTTAATAGTAAACTTTGCTGTAATAGCTCCTATCAAAGACGTCCTAAATCTATAATGCAAGTAAATGTTTTTTTTTTTTTTTAATATTTTACTATAGGAATTTCTAAAAGTAGTACAATAATACAATGCATATTGAAATGTTATTAAATAACATTAAACAATGTAATAGCTTGATAGCCTCTTTTAAATTAAATACCATTTATGAAATGGTACACCTTATAACATAGATTTAGATTTAGCTGTGTAAATCATTGTTTTAAATGTTCTCAAACTTTTTGAAAAAGAAATAACTGATGGTAGCACTGAAATAATGACTCAGTTATTAAATCAGCTGAAAATTAAATAGCAGTTATTTTGATTGTCAATAAAATTATGTAAATAATTAGCAAAAACGTCCCAAACTCATACAGTCACACCACAAATGTGAATTTTTGTCAGGTCTTGTGGTTCTTTATGATATTAAACTGAAGATTTTTGGACTGGTTGTCAGACAAAATAAGCAACTGGTATTTGTCCGCTTGGGTTTTGCAAAATTGCCGGTGATAAAATGATTAATCAAATAGTAAAAAAAGAATGAATGAGTAATAAGGAATGTATGAAATGTTAATGGCGAAAAAACAACATTAAGTATGAAACAAACACTTTCAAATTAATAAAAGCGCAAAGTTTTTTTTTCTACAAATAAAAATTATTTATTTAAAGCATCTTTAGATATATGAAGTGGAATTAAATGCATGTATTGGCAGACGGGGCGCTCCAGACTGAGTCATCAGCTTGTATATCTCTGTGCTCACTGAATATCTTTGCAGTGTTTGCTTTGACAGCTACCGGAGGTCCTCCCTCGGCGCATGCGCACAGGCCTCCTCTTCGGATGACAACTGCACCAGGGAGATAACGGACAAACATTTAGCGAGAGCTCGCTAGCAGAGGGAAGTGACAACTCTTTGACTAAAAGCTTCGCTAGCCTGACTAAAGTAATGAGGTAGATAGCCAAACACTTAACCAACCAAACCTTGTATGGAACAGCCCGGCGTCGCCACAGTGAAAATGGACCAGGAGTTTGAAGACATAGACTCAGAGGGCCGGTGGCAAAAACTGTACTCAGTAAGTCTGTTAGCATAGTTAGCATCGAGCTAACACGTAGAGTCTGAACTTAAAGCGCGCATTTGATTTAGCGAGCTAACAGCTTGGCTAGCTAACTAAGTACCCCTTATAGCGGTAAAACCGACTTTTATCGCTAATTTTGTTCGTGTTTTGTGTTGTTTTCTGTTTGTCAGAAGACACTGCAACACTTTTATATGACGTTACCGCAAAGATTAATCAGTGCGCATATGACTGAGGTTACCAGTGATTACTTGCGTTATTTAGCGATTTAGTTGTTTTCACCGTTGGACTCCGCCACATGAGTTTTAATCCTCACAGTTAGAAGATAAATCAAGCTGCTAAATGTATCTACATTTGTTTGCTATGGTTATTGAACCAAGTGTACCACTGATTTATTGCTTGTTCTCATTCAGTCATTTATGCCATGAGGTGGTTTTGCCAACCTCCCCATCCGTTTGACAATCAAACAAAGTACCATCATTGGTTTGCATGTGATATTTACTTTTGTTCTTTCTGCTGTCCAGGAAATCAGAAGTCAGTCCCATGAGTGCTCCTACAAAGTGGCAAAGTATCCAGAGAATCGCAACCGGAACAGATACAGAGATGTCAGTCCATGTAGGTAAACATTTGTAGACGGTCCAGACTGTTTACTCTGCAGGTGTTCCTCTAAACCTCTACCTGTGTCTGTCAATTTACAACCTATCCCCAAATAACTCGTCCGTCTCTTATCCTACCTGCAGTCGATCACAGCCGGGTGAAGCTCGAAAACACAGAAAATGACTACATCAATGCAAGTCTGGTGGTGATGGAGGAAGCCCAGAGAAGTTACATACTGACTCAGGCAAGTTTAAAGACTTTTTTTTTCCCACTAACGAATAATGCATGCAGGTCTTGTATGTGTAGACAGAACTGTTCATGGAGGCAACCAATGCATTTAATCCTTTACTTATGCAAACATTAAAACTGCCTTGTTTCTCCAACGGCCTAAATCACAAAGATGTCTAATTAATTATCATATAAATCATTAAAAAAAATAAGAAAAAATCCAGTTGTTAATCATGTTTGTCATTTTTACTTGACAGATTGGACTCACTCGCTTCAAAAAAAAAAAAAAAAAAGAGCTACATATACATTTTGTCTCAGTCGACTAAACTCTGACCTATTATTTAGGCTCTGAAATAGCTCACAGTCTGTAAAATGACATATGAACAGCGCACCACAAATGAGCTCCCCTCAAGTCAAGAGTTAGTGTTTTCAGAAGAATGCTTGGTTTCTGCGCAAAACATGTTGAATTGTGTGTGAATCTGTTGTGTCGTGATTGATAGTGGCAAGCGGTACTTTGGTTAACCTAAATCATTTAGTTAGGACTAAAGCTTCTGCATCCCTGTGTAACGTTACCTAAAGGAGTGTGAAGTGTTTTGACAGAGAATATGTGGGTATATTTATACGTGTATGGTGGTTCTGTGGTCTTCTTCCTGTTGCTCTGTGTTCGAAATTGTAGATAATTACTGAAGAATGACGCAGTTATTGGTAAAACCTCAACTTTGAAAACATCCTAATAGTATTTTTTGAAAGTGATAATTTAATTATTCACTATAATAAGCATGGCGAAATTTAGTATGAGCACAGCAAATGTGAAAATTAATGTTGCTTTTCAACAGTTCATCAAAAACTGTGTAGATGGATCATTTATATTTTATTGTGTTCATATGCTTTTCTGATCCTCATTATTACTTCTACCAGTCTACCTAAAAATATCCCCCTGGTGTATTATTAAATTTCAGGCAGCACTATTTTATATCCTTATCTGCGTATAATTCTCAGGAATTGGCACGAAAATGAGCATAAATCAACATTAATCTGCGTCGCATGGTTTGCTTACCCAACATACTCGCCTGCAGACAATTTTGTTTGTGTGTAGCAATACACACAATATGGCATAGCCAGTGTAATAGGGGCAAAGACATGAGCTTCAGCCTTACAAAGAAAAATAAAACAGTTAAAAGGTTAATAAGTCATGAAACTAATTACGTGTAATGGGAAAGAATTTAACCTTTTGAATGGGACTCTGGGTGACCTCACAGAAACACAGCAGAGGTTGTCAAAAGAGGATGAATGCTTAAATATTAAGCGAAAGTAGTGACACCCTGAGAGTGGTTAACCTATCTAAGGTGACACGACAGTATGAAGTGTTTCTTTATAGAATTACTCTCTAAAAGACTATTTGCTTGAGACTTCTCTGAGGCATCTGGGTAGAAGCAGACCACAACTGCTGTATTCTTCAGAACTCTCTCATCTATAACTTCTTCTTTTTATGATATTTTAAGGGCAGTCAAATCAACATAATGTTATAAAGAATCAGGAACCGTGGTTACAAATGTTAGGGGGGTGGGATGTTGCGACTATTTTGCTGGGTTGGGATGAAGTCATTTATAAAGTCATCAACATAGATTCTAAACAGAAACTCTTCAGAGCAGTGTCTTTGCCTCACACACATTTTAACAATGTTGTTGTGCAGGAAATGAAAGGCGAAATAATCACTTACCTCTTTCATTTGCATGACCATAGGAAACTGTGACTTGGCTGATAAAACTTTTTCTTTCTTTGTTTTTTTTGTAACCAAAAGTCATTGCTCAATGCACACTGTTATCTCAGCAATTTAAAGCCACAGAAAGCTTTCGTAATTCAGCATGACAAGAGTAAGATATCAGGTTTCTTACAGTAATGGTGGATTGTAGAATTGGACAACAGGCTTGTATTTTTGGAATATTATGAAGCAAAAAAATATCAAGCGCTTTGTTCAGCGCTCAGTAACATTCACTGGATTTGTGTCACAGCGTGTCGAAGTGTTTTTAAAGTCAGTGTTTTGGTTTTGTTGAGTCAAAGCTAGACTATACCGTTCATGTGCTGTTTGTCAAGGCCTCAAAACACGGATTAGAAACATTGTGAAATGAATTACCAGGTCAATCATCATCAGATATCTCCAATAATCTTTTGCTGAATCATAAACAAAATTGCAGTAGTTTTTTTTCCACAACTATTTCATTCACATTATAATCTGAGTGACCTAATGGAGTGTGTTTCTGTTCAAACAGGGGATTTGTTTCATTCCTTTTACTGCTACACCTTATTGTGTTTACACATGGCAGAAACTACAAGACGAGACTTAATGACATTATCTCAGCACGTCGTCTATTTGTGGTCTCTCTTTTGTATTATTTGAGAAAGATTTGACATTTGAAGATATCACCTCTCATCATGTATTCTTTTCAATTCAACCACATCATAACCTTTAGCAGTCTTGACCTTTATGTTTACCGTTGTTATCTTTATGCAAATCTCAGTTGCGTGCTTGTTACAATAGTTATGTGTTGGTCTCCGACTGTTGCTCAGCGAATTTATTTTGTGGATCTAATGTTACTGTGCATAGCTGAAAGGTTACACACATTTGCATCGCCAATGACTTCCCACTGCCCCCCGCTGGACTCCTCCTCCTGCTCCTGCTCCTGCCATGTAACTGAGCAAAGTGTTTGTGTGTTTTTGTCCACAGGGCCCCCTCAGGAACACCTGTGGTCACTTTTGGCTCATGATTTGGGAGCAGAGGACCAAGGCAGTCATCATGCTCAACAGAGTCATAGAGAAAGGCTCGGTGAGTACACGATAAAAGCAGACGTTATATTGCCTGGTTTGATATTTGTTATTTGTCTGGTGTGCACATGCCCACACACATACCAAATAAACCACAGAAAGTCTAGTCAGGCACTGACATTTTTATCCACAGCTACTCATGCACTCTGTTGAAGCTGGCAGTCTGCTGACGGTGTGAAATAATTCTTGTCACTTGTGAATTCTTACTGGTCTTTTTCAAAACGTCCAGCTTCATGTTGCATCTGCATTAAGTTGTCTAGCTGTTTTGTAGAAAGCTCTGCCCACAGTGAAATGCCTGAACAACATGGAAATGACACTGATAGTCAGTGGCTCTGCAGGTTTACAGCCTGTTACAGCTCCATTCAGCATCCTCCTGCTCTCTGTGGTCACCTATAGTGTGTTAATGTAGCTAACATCACAATCTAACTGGACTTACGCACTTATTTTTTGCTAATTAGCATTCTGAAGCTGTGCTGATAAACCTCTTATTTCATAATCATGACATGATTTGGCACAAATCTAAGTTACTGACAACATCACTGCTGTATATTGGGCTATATTGACATTTAAAATGAAAGATCACAGTGGAGTTAGAGGCAACTGAAGGCTATATTTTTTTTAACATTGCTGGCACACAGCCCCCAATCTTCACAGGGCTAGCTAAGGTTGTCTTTTTGGACTGCGTACACACTGAAACACAATGCTGACATTCTCAGATTAACACACTCTGAAGGCTGTTGTTGGAAAAGCTCCATTTTGATTCAAGAGACGTGCCGTATTAGTCTGGAGCGAGGGCTGAAACGGGGGAAAAAAAAGATGTGTTCATAAATTTGACAAGCTTAATATGGATGTACTCTCACTCCCCTGTCAGCAGAATAACTGGAATTCAGTGTTTTGACAACGTGTTCACAGATGTATGAGAGATTCTGGGATGCAGCCCAACCTCTCAACCCCTTTAACTCCGGTGATCCTGCAATGTGCAGATTAAACACACACTAAAACGCTCTCACGCAGAGCAGCTGTGACCTCTCTCTTTCTCAGTAAAGCAGCTGGAGTGGTTCTTGCTGGGTCATGAGATCCACTTACTGACTGTTTTCTTGGAAATAGAAGATAAAGAGCAGTTAGTCAACAGATATTATTAACCTCACAAGGATCTTTTATGTGGGGCGGCTGTGCAGTGCTGCAGAGCCAAGGTTACATGATAAAATTATCCTCTGCAGCTCATGTCATTGTCTGTTTACTGAGGAAACACTGTGCGAAGGGATGTCGTTGACCTAACTTATGTATTTGACACCATGTTTAAGTGCAGCACTGACGAGGGGCTTGTATTTCTGTCAAAAATCATTTAAGCTCCCTACTCAGGCTTAGAAATAAACAGTTCTTTACTTATATTAGTAAAGACTAAAAACAGCAACAGTAGTAATGATGATAAATTAAAAAGACTAAAGAGGAGAAAGTAAACAAATAGTTTAGAACTGAATTTGTTGCTCTGCTCAAAATTCATTCCTACAGATTTTAATTAAAATTTCGTGGTACAGGTAAATTGCAATGTGGTGTAAGAAATGTACAATTAAACAATTAAATTACAATTAAATTTTGCACAAAAAATAGAATTATGACCACAAAATACTAAATAGTGCATTAAACAAAACAAGCTTGTGATATGATATATTTGGTGTTGCACAGCATAGTTTGGATTTGGTGCAGATGTATAGTTGTTTATGTCAATGAAAAGCATTGACTTTACATACTTTGGCTGAATTGGGAAAATGTGTACCATGTTTTTTTTTAAAGAACACATCAGATAAATCACATTTTTTGTTATATTTTAATGGGATTCAAATTGAAACAGTCTTAATCATGAATATGAAGCACTGTTTTGTGTTTGCATTGATTTTCTATTAATCGTCCTACTCATCTGAAGCTTTTGCATTCTGGATGTGGGAAGAAAATGTCACAGAGCTGCAGATAATGTAGTTTAGTTATTTAACATAAACATCATTTGCTTAAACTGCAGTGTTTCAACAGCAAATTGCACTTTTTGTCAGATTTTCTTCCAATCTTTGATATTGTCTATTTCTGTAACCCATCATTCATTTATTTTTATATTCAAAATGAGAACAAATCAAATAATAATAACAAAACAATAACCACAATACAAGCCTTTATTTGTTGTTTTGCATATTTCAGGCACTGCTTTACTGAATGCATGCAAGCTGGAGCCGTTTTTGCTGAAACCTTTGCTTAGTTCAAATAAAATTCAATAAAGGAAATACTGAGATGACGCCCATTCAAAAACCTCCCGGAGCATTAATGACGGCTCGCAGTCCGTTGCGATAATTGTGGGGTTTTTTTCAGCGTTGTCTGTTCTTGGCAAAAAGCCTGCAGGTTCCCTAAATTCTTTCGTGAACAGCATTTTGTAAATCTTCCCAAAGTTGCTTAATTACATTGAAGTCAGAAGACTGTGGTGGAGACTTCACTTTCACTTTTTGTCATCTGCAGCTGCTGTCAAGTCGACTTGGAAAATCACTGTCATGTTGGAAAGTCCAAGTGGCGTCCAGCTTTCAGGCTGGTGAATGCAAGTTGCACTCCAGTGTTCACCTTGTTATCAGTCTTGACTAAATTTCCCTTCGCTACGTCTGTGCGTCACAACAGCAGTGGCGTGCTTTTCGTCTTAAGTCCTGCTGACTCCTCTCCAAACACTGTTCATGCTTGTGACCATACAGTTCAATTTCACTCCGAATGACCTATTCTGGAGTCTTGTCTCAGTGCTTTTTGGCATACTGTACGCAGGCTGTTTTGTTGGGCTGCTGTAGTCACAGTTGTCTTCTGGCAGCTGAAGAGAAAAGCCTGTATTTCAGCTGAAGCTGCTTGTGGGTTTTTCTTTGAAACCGACTGATTTTCTTGGCAGTTGTGGCAGAAATCTTTGTTGGTCTAACTGACCGTGACTTGATATCAGAGAACCTATAATCTTCCACATTTTTCAAATCAAAGTTTGAACACTACTGAGTGGCATTTTTCACATATTGAATATCTGTTTACATCCTCTTCCTGATTTATAAAGCTGAACTACCATTTCTTTATAATAATAATAATATGTGTATAGCGCTTTTCAAGATACTCAAAGACGCTTTACAACGTCGGTATCAACAACACAAGCAAACAAAAATAATAACAAATATAAAATATAATTGGAAAAGAGCATAGAAAAATTCTTGCAGGTCATTTGATGGTTGTATTGCTTTCCCCAGATGAAATGTGCAGGGATCTCTGAAGAGCTGAGGAACTGACTGCCTGTTTGTAGGCAAACAAGTCACTGGCATGGACACATACCCTTAATAGCCTTTTACACCTCTATCTGTCCACTTGTGTGTCATCAGGCCAAACATTCAGAGGTATTTGCGCCTACAGTTGCCATTAGAATTTTAAATAGGGCACACAAATATGTTGTAATAAATGTCTTCATCTGACCGCCAAGACACGTTTTCTGCATGGTCAGTCGTGTTCTGAAGTGGCCCATGTTTCGCAAATTCTAAGAATGTAAACTATGAGCAGAACTGTACGTTTGTGTACATGTGTAACAGCGTATAATGCAAGTGTGTCATCTCATTTATGTGTGAGCGTGACCAGGTAAAAGTCCTGGCATGTGTGCAAACAGAAAAGAACCAGACAGGAAAAAACGGAGAGGATGTTTGTCCACAGCATAGCGCAGCTTCCCTCTCGGTGCCAACGATCCAACTGTGCTCCCCGTTAGCAGTCAGCTGCTATACCTCAGTCCGCTACCGTCTGCTTTTCATCATCTTTGTCAGATGTTTAATTTCCTTTGGTAATTTTTCCATGTTTTCTTCTGCTTTCTTCTCCCGCGACAGGAAAAGTGTGCGCAGTACTGGCCCACGGCTGAGGAGAGAGAGATGGCTTTAAGAGACACACGCTTCCTGGTCACACTGTTGTCAGAAGACACCAAGTCTTACTACACCACCAGAGTGTTGGAGCTGCAGAATATTAATGTAGGCCACAGTAATACTTAGTAAATGGGGAATTCCCAGTACAAGGTAGCAGAGGAGAACTGAAATGATTCACTGATGTCACATAGGACACATCACATGCGTTGTTCGAAGATTGTTAGAACTACCTGTGTTCAATAATTGGCACGTTGTTTGGATTTTCTGAGAAGGGTTAAACTTGCAGTTTAGCTTTACTCACATCCAAAGTTTTTCCAGTGTGGAGGTAAGGACAAAATGCCAATCAGAGCAATTTAAGTATTTAAGTAAAACCATACATGTTCAAGCTACACTGTTAATACTATAAGTTCAACTTGTTTTCATCTAATCTTTATGGATTTCTGTAATCCATCATTCATACTTCCTTTTTTATATTCAAAATGAGCACAAATAATAAAAATTAACTCCAAAGATCATCACAGAAAAGCAAGCACGACAAACAAGTTCTCACAAGCCTTCGTTCGCGACACTGTTGTTTTTCAGAGACCGGTTTGTTGAATGAATTGAAACTGAAACTGTCGTTGCAGAAATGTTTGCCAAGTTCAGTTGTTAAACACTAGACCTCAGTCTGTACTGCCAGAATTACAACTGACAGAGTCTGTGCAAACAAATACAAGTTTTATAGTTGGGAAACTAAAGATGCATTGTTTGCTTCCTTCCACAGACAGGGGAGAAGAGAGAGATCTACCACTTTCATTACACCACGTGGCCTGATTTTGGTGTCCCCGAGTCCCCGGCGTCTTTTCTAAACTTCCTCTTCAAGGTGCGGGAGTCGGGATCGTTGGGGGTGGAGCACGGACCCGCCGTGGTGCACTGCAGTGCTGGGATCGGACGCTCAGGGACGTTTTCATTAGTTGACACATCCCTGGTCCTGGTAAGTCCTGCCTCTTGGTCCCGTATGAGCTCTGGTTGATTATTTTTTATGTATTTTTGCATTCAAATGAATACATCTGACTTGTATGTATACATCCACAAGAACACAATACTTCAGTCAGTGTAATATTTAATATTTGGATGTACATACATTACACAAATCAGTAGCCTGTGTAATTTGTCTCAACAGCACTTGTCCTGTGAATACATCCATCGAGGTTTTTCATTTTTGTACCACTTCGCTGATTGAAGCCCCTGTCAGAAATTAAAAGTAGTTTAAGGACTAAAAACATTAAAATAAGTCCACAAATAAACCATTTTTTGTCTGATATATTTGGTTAAGAATGTACAATAGATAAAGTAGAAAGAATACTGAAGAAAACCATACATTTACTTTAGTGTGGTGTGTGTGCAACTTGTTTCTCACAGCTTCCCTGAAGAAGACCAGAAACATGAATAGGACTTTAATTGCACCAGAAATAATCATAATGTAATAATGCACTTTATTTGTATAGCACCTTTAAGAAGTGCTTTTATATAATAAAGAAATACAACACACAGTGAGACGAGGCAACACGGAAAACAACATGTAGGCGAACATTCAAAATATAAAAATACACACAATAAAAACGAAAAAGAACAGGCTGGGTCACTATTGGAAGGTGTGTTATAGTAAAACTAGTAAAACTGATTAAAAAGGCAACATCACAGAGGGGAATTAAGATAAAAGCTGAAGATAAAAGTAGATTAAGAAAGAGAAAAGAGAGAAGGACCGCAGGCAGTACAGATATAAAAGGGAAAAGAAACGGGTGAAAATTTAAAAGAAAACATCACTGAAAAGTGAGTGGGTTTTAAGAAATGATTTAAATGAAGAGACTGAATCTGCCAGCCTTATTTCCTCAGGTAGGTCGTTCCAAAGCCGAGGGGCCCTCACAGAAAAGGCCCGGTCGCCTTTGGATTTGAGCGTCGACAGAAATATCTCAAAACTAACATCGTTGTAGTTTTTAGATGTGTTGTTAATAGCTTTTTAAAAGGAGACAAAAGAAGATGTTTTAGGGAATTGTCAAAAGGTCTGGAGGGTATGTAGGTGTCCAGCGTTGTACCAGTTCAAACTTCACAACAGCTCGCTCAGAATTCAATTTAGAAAGATTAAGATGAAGGAGTTCACAGTCGTGGTTCACAAGTTTGAATTTTGTGGTGCAGAGTCCAAAGTTCATGTCTTTTTTTATGAGCTGCTCTGAGGTATTCTTTTCAAGTTAAACCTCCTCCTGCCCATCTGCCCACAGTTGTTACCACATTTTATAAAAATATGTTTGTTTTATGTGAAAACTAGGCCCCTTTGAAGTCTAATGGGAATTCTTTGTGGGTTTTGACAGTTAAAACTAATTTAATCCACCCTGCTTCTCTGACTGTCAAAAACTAAGCAGTTTAATTTCAGTTGGACTTGAAATCAGAACGCTCAGGCGGAAACATACGCCGATATGGAGAGATAAGGGAGTTCCTCTTTGTCAACTGAGCCAAGTTGTGCTACTGTCTGCTCTAGATGGACAAGAGGAAAGACCCCTCATCAGTGGACATAAAGAGCATCCTGTTGAACATGAGGAAGTACCGCATGGGTCTGATCCAGACTCCTGACCAGCTTCGCTTCTCCTACATGGCGGTCCTTGAAGGAGCCAAGTTCATCATGGGAGACTCGTCTGTACAGGTACCAGCACCGCATACACCAAAGTCAGTCACCCATTCTGACACCATCTCTCTCTTTCTCAATGATATTCAAGTGCTTTTTTCTTGTTCATATATCTCTTACTCACAGAGACTCCATTTAGTCGACCAGACTTACTCACCTTTATCTAGGGTCCACAGCTCTTGCTTTTGAGATGAAGACAGGCAGAGAAATACAAAGAAATGACAATAACATAAGGATTAGGCGACAAAGAAAACACTCTGAAAAACTTAAATTGAAGTTTGCTGTCATGTAATTTCACAGACAGTATAGCGGCCTGCTTTGCTAACAAACTTTCCTCTCTTAGATTATTTTATATTTACATTTGTTGCTCATTTCTTTGTGCAGAACCGATGGCGGGAATTATCCAGGGAAGACCAGGAGCCGTCATCAGAGTCTCCCCCCTCCGCTCAGCCTCAGCCCAGGTGTCCGACGGAGCGATACAACGGCAGCCAACGAGCAGGTCAGCTGGAGGAGGGAGAAGACTACAGGCAGGACGCCAAAGTACCTGCACAGTCTCCCTGCAAGGAACCGGAGCTGGACGGCAGCACGACACAGTCAGTACAGTGAGTCTGATTTCTAGCCACTGATCAAAGTAGGCTGATAAATAAAGTAAACAGGCTGTTAGAGATTCGCTAATTACTGTTTCAGACAACTAGAAATTAAAGGTATGAATTACAGAATGGGGGGAAGAAACTAAAAGGTGGCCATAAAAAGCCAAATATGGAATTAGGGTACTAGTTAAAAAAAGTTCTGAAAATTCTTGACTATTGAGCGCCCCTGAATAAAAGCCACACCCACTGACTTTAAAACAAAAACAAGTTTTGTACATATACAGGCCGTACTTGTCTATAAGCTGCAGGTGTCCACGTTGTAACATGAGATATTTACACAGAAAGATTTTTTTAAACTTTTGATTAAATACGTACTGGTAACAAACACAGATACGTACCATAAATATTTTTTTCCGAACAGTGCCTGTAACACGGCTGGTTAAGAAAGTAAATATACAGGGCGGCTGTGGCTCAGGGTTGTCCTCTAATCGCAAGGTTGGCGGTTCGATCCGCCGCCCCTCCACAGTCAAAGTGTCCTTGGGGCAAGACACTGAACCTGAAGTTGCTCCCAGGCAGGCAGGTGTATGAATGTGATCTACTCTCAGATGTACGTCGCTTTGGATAAAAGCGTCCGCTAAATGAAATTGTAAAGTTTGTGCAGTAGCCTACCAGGAAAAGTCATTGATCGCTATCTTCATCTTCCTCCTGCGCACTAAAACCACTAAAGTTGGAATTGAATAGCCTCAGAATTACTTCGTCACACACTTCCTCAGTCTTTCTTTCGCTCTCAATGTCACTTTCACCACGAGGCAAATTTGTAAAAATCGGTGAATTAGCCGCATCATTGTTTAAGGCGCAGAGTTCAAAGCGTGTGAAAACAGTCGCGGCTTATAGTCCAGAAATTAAGTAACTAAGTAGTCAAAAAAAGTCTTTGTCGGTGGTGGTTGTGCATAGGATCAGACAAAGAACATAATCGGTGTGTTCAAATTAAACTCTTCTGTCGCTTACAACACAGTAGCTCGTATTCTTACTGGAAACACAACTGTTGACCCTTTTTCCTTCCTTTTCGTGCAGCAAAAGACGCAGAGAAGACAGTATCTCCAAATCGGGGACCGCCAAGACACCCCAAAGCAAGTCCAGGACGAATGACTCAGAGAAGAAGCGAAAAAGGTGATTAAATCTTTTGGTTAAAACTACTTCCTGCTTTACATACTTGAATCATCAGGTCACTACTGTCTGGGATGACTTTTTTATGTACCATCTAAATGACACTGTCTAGTGTGATATGCCTGCGTACACTGTAGATATTAATCAACACAGACTGTAGGAACCACATCTAATCCATTGGTTAAGACGAATATGCGATTTATGAATGATGAACCTGCAGTACAGCGTGGTATTTTCTTTTAGACAGGAAAGCAGAATTTTTACTCTACAACTCTTTCGATATAAAAGGCTGTGAGTCATAGTTTAGCTCCATTTCTTTGAAATCCAGACAGGCTTTCCCAGTGTGTGACTCATCCTACCAAGAGCAGAAGTAAGACGGAGACTCTGCTGAGGCTTCAATTTCTTCCAATTATCTCTTTCTCTCCGTCATCATTCTCCTGCATTTAGCGTGAATCCAGAAGTCTAGCGAAACGACACGTAGCTCGTTTTCCCATCACAGCGGCGGACAGTGAGACCTGATGAAGCACTTACTTCTCATGACAGCACACCTACAGAAACAGCTCACAAAGTCATTTCTGAGAAGCCTTTCGTTTGTTATTTTGACATGTCAGTGTTGTTCTAGTAATATGGCCAAAACTTCACCATTTCTGACGAGGTCTTACTCTGCTGTTGTGGTTCTTCTGGACAGTTTGGGCTGCATTTGCTGCACATGACAAGAGGTGGCCTGTCCGGTGGGGGGCAGTGTATCTTTACCCCCCTCTGAGACAGCGACAACAACAACGAGGAGCACATTTAGAGGAGGAAGTTTACTCACAGCTTTTTAAAAGAGCGGCCTCTCTTGTTCATAGAGGTGTGTGTGTGTGTGTGTGCGGGTGTATGTGTGTTCACACTTAGTGTCTGCTGTGTTTTTCTTTCAGTTGGGTTTTTTTTTTTTTTTTGTTGTTGCTGTTTTTTTTCTTTTCGTGATTTGCTTGGGCCCCTGTGGTTTGGAGTTGTGTTCGTTTTGGCTGCACACTAGCATGATGTGGCGTGTGTAAAATTTGTGGTTAATGGTTTTTGAAACTCTGAAATGTCAGGTTGATTCGGAGCAATGCAAGATGCAAATTCACACCGAGCTGCAAATATTCAAATGTGGTGGCCTCTTTTTTTATCTGTCTTTTCAATCTTGTCAAGAAAAACAGTGCAAAACAACAACCTTCTGCTCTTCACATGAAAGTAGAATTATTTTGTGGCGAGGACAGAGAACGTAGGATCACTGATCGGGTCTCGGCAGTTACATAGATGAAGTCCTTCAGTTAATCCACCAGTGAAAAGTAAATTCCCATCCATGAGTTTCCTGAAGGTTTGTTGCATGTTCGTACGTTCTCGCTGGTGCGCCTAACTTTCAGAGTTGTGTCATGAGGTCTTTCAGTGCCTTCAGAAACATAGCATGGCAGTGTTGCTAGTGGTTTGTAAACTGCATCAGTTACTTTGTGTAATGTTTGACTTTCATCAGAAGACTTGTGTTTAGGTGTTAGAGGGCTTTAGTTGATTGAATGGACCAGAGGAGCTTGTGAACGAAACAAAGCTTCTTTGTTGTCTCTCATTGTGCTTCATCATGCTGCATAGTTAAGGCTGCAACTAACAGTTCTTTTCATTTCATTGATTTATCTGTAAGTGTCTAGAAATGGTGAAAGTGGCTGTTTCATAAAGCCCAAAGTGACGTCTTCTGATGTCTTGTTTTGGCCGACCAACAGTTCACCAAAATATTCTGGTAGATTAATCGTAGCAACTGGACTTGCTTGAGTTCCCTGAGGACATTTCACTTCTCATCCAAGAGGCTTCTTCTGCTCTGACTGACTAGTTGGGAGTTCCAGGAGCAACAAACCCCCAATTGAAACCGAAACTCAGGTGTTAATGGCTCCTTAAGAATATCAGTATCTGGAACTCCCAACTAGTCAGTCAGAGCTGATGAAGCCTCTTGGATGAGAGGTGGAACGTCTTCAAGGAACTCAAGCAAGTCCAAGCTGTCCACCTAGATGACTGAGAACCTTCACAGACACTTCACCAAAATAATTAATATACTAAAAAAATAAATAATTAAGAAGCTGAAGCGAGGGATTGTAAAAATGACCTGAACAAGCCTCTGTACATACAGCATATCAATCCTTGGCCTTTTGTCTTGATAACTGACTTAAATGAGTTTTATTAAGGTTAGTTGCATTGTAGTCCTTCTAGATCATCTGGGGACAAGCTTCACTGTATCATACGGATAATCAAATCTAATTATGTGTTCTCATGGTTCGCAGTAACACGATGGAAAGTTTTCCATTTACAATTAAGTGTGACGTTTTGTTCTTCTTCTTTTTTTCTTTTTTTTTTAAACATGATTGCTGCTTTTGCTGCATTTATTCTAATCTCGATAAGATCAAAGTGATTTGAACTGGTGTTAACGCGCCACAGCTCCTGCTCAGCAAACCTCGTTCCGACTTCTGCTCTCTGTGGTGAAGTTTTAACTTCAAAACTTGACCAAGCTGAAGACACTAACTTGATTTTTTGTGGCACGAGTTCCTTTGATCACTGCTGAGCTTCACTGACGCTCTCAGACAGTATTTTTTTTTGGAGTTCCGTCTCTTTAACTGTTTTGTGTTTCGCGACAGGGCGAAAACCAGCGACTGCTAACCGCCTCCACCCGCGGCCACCCGACTACAGCTCTGGCAGCGAAGCCAACATCGGCAGGGAACTCCAGCTCTCTCCCAAACTCTGTGTTCTTCTTCCTCAACTCCAAACCACTCTTCCTCACCTCAACAGCTAGCTCTCCTGTCGTCACTGTTTTTTGGGTTTTGTCTTTTTTTTTTTTCTCCCCTCAGCCAAGTAGCATTATTCAGCCACGGCTCACCTCCCCATCCCGTCTCCTCCTCCTCCTCCTCCTCACAGCTTTACATTTTCTCCTCTTCGTCTCTAAACTGTTTACAGTAAACACTTTGACATTCTTTGAAGACAAACACACCAGCGCTTTCCTCCCCCAGGCCACACCTCAACCACTGACGGCGCTGCTTCCGGAGTCACAATCAAATTTGTTTAGTTTTTTTTTTTTTTAGTGCTATTATTTGCAGCTTTCTCATTCTCCTCTGCTTCTTTGCATTTATAAATTTAGGACTGAAAATAGGGGCTATGCATTGCCAATTTGTAATGCTGTTCATATGTGTATTTTTGGAAAACATTTTTTTTCAGAGGCAACAATAAAAATGTTCTATTTTTTATAAGAAATTACTTGAAGTTTTTCAGGTGATGTGGGGCTGGTTAAATGAAAAGCACTGCCTCCTCCCACATAACAAATTCAGTGGCATGTAATGTTTCCATGATGTACATAGTGTTCTTTTTAAAAAGATGTGTATAAAAAGACATATTTTTGCTTGTAAAAAAAACTCCTTTAAAAAAAACAATTCAAAAAGACAAAGGCTAATGTTACAGATCTGAGAACAGTGGAAAGCGGATTTGATGACTTGTTCTTCTTTTGAACTGAATTTGTCTTAAGTTTCTTTCTTTAGAGTGTAATCTACAAATAAAACTGGTATTATCTAGTTTCCATACAAACCTGTATTTGTTCTTCTCTGGTTACCACAAACCTGGTAGCTGATGTGACCTTAGCAGCACTTTCATTACACACATGTGATAGAACTTAAAGCAGTATCCCGATATATATCCTGTTTTCTTTTCCAGAAAAGAAATCCGAACATTTGACACAACCGGCTTCAAAATTGTTGTTCATCTCGACATGTTAGAGTCAAAGGTTTTCACAGAGGGGACTACGATGATTCCATACATATAAAAATACATTCAGGAAGTAGAAAATATACTATTTTGCCCTGTTTTTAGGAAAGTAATGTATATTTTAAGAACAAAAAGCCCTCTGTATGACCTTTAGAACATAGATAAGAATAAGTCTGTCAAGTGTGGTGTTTCTAAGTGCTATGAAAGTGGAGATTTCTGGTTCGGAATGGGAGAAAACAGCCTTTAAAGATGTGTAGACTTCAACACATTTTCAGTGGAAATTGCTATTATAGGGTAAAAATATACAACTAATGGCATTTCCCTATTTGATTACCTACATTTTCTGTATGCTTTCTGAGATGTTGTGATTAAATATGCAAATGAGGTGTCCATAAACATCCATCCATCCATCATCTATTCACTGGGGTCGTGGGGGGCTGGAGTCTATCCCAGCTGACTCAGGGTGAAGGCAGGTTCACCTGGACAGGTCACCAGTCTATCACAGGGCTACACTTAGAGACAGACAACCAAGCACACTCACATTCACACCTACAGACAATTTAGAATCACCAATTAACCTCAACATGTTTTTGGACCTTGTGGGAGGAGGCCGGAGAACCTGGAGAGAACCCACGCTGCACGGGGAGAACATGGAGACTCCACGCAGAAAGATCCTGGGTGTCCTCTCCGGGATGTGAACCGGCGACCTTCTAGCTGCGAGGCGGCGGTGCTAACCACCGAGCAGCCCCAAATGAGGTGTTATTTCCTTAAATATGTGGTAATTTGCATAAATCTCCTGTAGACTAATTGTAAACACCCTATAATATATATATATGTGCAAAATAGCCCCAAATCTCAAAATCGACCAGTTACCAAACTTGTTCTGCAACATAATGCTGACTAAAGGATTCTGGATTTTATTAAAAACTACTGTGATGATTGCTAATTAATTCTGAATTAACGGCCCAGTTGGAGAGAGTCTATCTTTATTATTACTTTTATTTAAACTCGAGGATAGCCCTCCATATGATTCTTATATCAACAGTGAAATAAAAAAAAAAAAAGATTATTTTGTTCTGAAAAAATATTACATCAGCTTATCTCAAAACCACTTCTTTTGATTTCCTCCCTCCAGTTATTTAAAGATTAGCAAGGCCCCTCGTCATCCAAAAAAAAAAAAAAGACCTGAAATGAAAATCTGTGGAGGGATGGATGTCTCATCCCGGTTTACCCCACATATGGTATTTTGCTGGCAAGTGCCACCGTTGGCCTCCATGAAACCGCTTCACAGACAAATAGGAAAATCTGTCATTTATCTTCTTAACGCTCTGCCAGAGAGGTCTATTTCTCAAACAGGTTGGCCTGTTTGTCTTAAAATCAAAGATAAATATTCTCAGAGTCCAACAGAGACTTGTTTAAAACTTGACTATTACTCATATTGTAAATCTACTTTTAGGATCAGGAGAGTTTTTCAGATTATTCAGAGGAGAACCTTTCTTTTATTGCGCCCAGTTTTCCCTTAAACATGCTGTCAGGACATTCCTTTCTCACAACCTGTCTGCCCAGAAACCACCCAAAACAATGAGGCAGACTGAGAGGAAAACCACAAACTTGGATCAGTAACTGCTGTCCTGTTGTTAACACCGTAACGTTGTAGAAAGGAATCAAGTTACAGAGCGCAGAGGTGGGACTGCCAGGAATACGGGGTGGCGCTTGGCCAAGCGCTTTCAGTTAAGTGGGTGGATGCAGAATCCAACGGGAGCAGCAAAATAAAAGTCCGTATTGTTTTAGGTGAAGCCACGCTAGATTCTCATCACAATCTTTTATTGAAAAACACAAGGGAACATTTAAATGCTGCAAAACTAGGAAATAGTATTTTAAGTGCATGTTTGAGTCAATTCCTGTAAATGTACTTTTATGTTTGCACATATTTATATCAAAGACAGAGACAGAAGAGACAGAAATGATGCATTGTCAAGAGAGCAAAGATGTCTGTGGTGTTGATTTACAGGTGTGTTACTCTAAAGCAGAAGTTTGCAGAGTAAACGCTGGCATGTCATGGAACTCCGCTGAATTCTTCCGAAGGTGACCACAAGCTAAAAATAGCAGAAACACTTTTTGTATCAGAACAGCGCAGGAGGGATGCCGCTTCCAAAAAGGAGGTTCCAGGAAGTCGGGATTTTCCATTTGTTTGGCTCTTGGCTCTGAAATGAGAACATTCCCCTTTAAAGTCACACTCGTGCCTCATCAGCCTCACGTCGCTGTGACGTGACTTCTCTGAATTCACATTTCTGCTGAAACCACCTGGGATTCTAAGTAGCTTTAAAGGGCCCATATTGTTTCCCAAATTTACTAAAGTGTCACGTGTTCACAATCTTTCTTTCAATTTCTCAGCTCTAAATAAAACAAAAATGATTCTTTTTTCTACCATGATTGTATAAATCTCTAATTTCAGCCTTGTTCTAAATGGGCTGTTTCAGTGTCTGGAGCTTTAAACACAACTGAGCTGCTGCTGTCTATGCCCCCATCAGGAAGAACTCACCCTCTGCATCTGTGATTGACAGCACAGAGCAAAAAAGTTGACCGTGAAAACATGATTTGCTATTACTACTAAGTGCTAATTTTACCTGAAAATGTCAACAATTTTTATAGCATAGCAGTTTTTAATTTGTGTGTATGGTGACTTTGACAGAAAACATTGTGGCCATAAAAATCAGTACCGTAAATTCCGGACTATTAGCGCACCTGAATATAAGCCGCACCCACTAACTTTAAAAAGAAAACTAGTTTTGTACATATACAGGCCGCACTTGTCAATAAGCCGCAGGTGTCCACGTTGTAACATGAGATATTTACACAGAAAGATTTTTTTAACTTTTAATAAAATACATACCGGTAACATACATCACACATACATCATACAACACATCTTCCTCTTGCGCACTAAAACCACTAAAGTTGTCTTCTTCAGCCTCAGAATTACTTCGTCACACACTTCCTCAGTCTCTCTTTCGCTGTTGCTCTCAATGTCACTTTTGTCTCGAGGCAAATCCGTAAAAATCGTAAAAATCTGTAAATTAGCCGCATCATTGTTTAAGCCGCAGCGTTCAAAGTGTGTGAAAAAAGTAGCGGCTTATAGTCCGGAAATTACGGTATTTTAGTGGCGCACAGCAGCAGCTTGGAAATGGCTCCACAGTGACGACGAGTTAGCTAATCGTCTTCATTGGCTGAGTTTTAGTCACAGATTCATATTTGTTCCATTGTGTGACAACGGAAACAGAAAATTATGTAAACGAAAAAACAGCTCAAATGGGAATTAAAGGCAGAAGAGAACCTCAGTTTAGGTTTAACAACAGACAACATGAAAACACAGTAACCCACTGAGTCCTGCTAGATAGACATATAGATACTTTATTCTTCGTCTTGGGGAAATTCCCCTTATTAGTTTCAACTCAGTCCTAAAGTCTGGAGCATTTCCAAATGTCACCCCACATAACATGTTCCTCAGAGCCCTGACCTGTGGACATGCAATCAAAGCTAATGATAATGTTAGCCACTAGCTGCACAACAAGCTAACTCTAAGGATTAAGACACTTGTGTTCACTCTTGCAGCCAACAGCAGAACGTTCGGTGTGATTTGCTCATGACTTTAGACTCATCAGAGGCAGCTCTAGAAAGTAAATAAACCTCATGGACTGTTGCTCTTTTTCTGGATCGCAGATATAAAAACCTTAACCTCTTGTACTTTAGTCCTCCAAGTTTAAAACAACCATAAAAACCACAATAAAAGTCACTATATGGGACCTTTAAAGCAGCACTGACTGTCACTTACGTTACTGTCCAGCAGATGGAGCCAGTCGTTGAGATGGTTGACGAGGGTGAAGGCGTCTGGAATGTTGTCGCCCTCTGAACAGAAGAGCAGCAGCACGGCCAGCGGGACGTCCTCCGTACAGCTAAACACACATCCAGGAACCATGATCAGACTTTAAAAAAAGCTTCTGATGGTAGACTTTTATTAGAACGCTGAATTTAGAGAAAGGTAATGTAGCAGAGACGGCAATTGTTTTGTAACACACTGAAGATAATCAGTTATTCTACAAGTTTTCCAGCGATATTAAGTAAATATCTTGTGGATATTTATCTTGGTGGATATTCACATAACGGTAACATGACATAATGTCATCAATTAATCTATATTAATATGATCCTGAACATGTACATGTAATTCTGAAACCCAAATCTTGTAGCTGTGACATCTTATTCTGTGCAACAATTTCACGAAAATGGAGAAATTACATCTAGTTCTTTCACATGCAACAGACCACACACACAGAACTTATGAGCAGACTTCTTAAACCAGTCCAGTGTGCAGTTTGTTGGTTGATTGTACAGAAGTGTGACACGAGTGCAGCTACAACTCAATCCTTAATTCTTAAACTTGGGTATATAAAAATAACTTAGAATTTTTTACTATTAGAAACATACTCCATCACTCTGGATCTAATCGTCCCTCATGTTTCGATGATTTAACGTCTCGGTGAAGCTCTACCTCTCTGTGTAAAGTCCTTTGGTGATGCCTCCACCGGGGATGTAGAGTCTTGGTTCTGTGTTGGTGTCTGTCAGTCCAGGGAAGGCCGACACTCGCTCCATCTCCCTCCAGCCCAGCTCCTTCAGAGCGTCCTCACTCACCGTCAGCAGGGACGGCGTGACCAGGTACCTCAGAGGAGTGCTGCCGTGCACACGCATTCGTTACTGGGCGTGATTGTGAAATAGCAAAATTAAAGAAAAGCATCGGCTACGTTGATTGCATGTTTACCCTTTTAGCTGCTGGTCGTCCCTCTGGTAGGCGTGACTGCTGGAAAGAACAACAGTCTTGGAGAACCCGCTGGCTTTGATCCAAGATACGAGAAGCTGGCGGAACTTTTTGGACTTTGTCTGAAGTTAAAATGAAGACAGAAAAAAAGAAAGTTAGAGTCATAAATACCATAAAATCCAGATCACATAGTTCTGGAAGACATAATTCACACAGTAACTCGGCTAAAAAAAAAAAAAAAAAAAAAAAAACTGTTTTTACCTGAACAATTGGGGCTCTGATCTGAAGAACTGCCAACTTTAGTTCTGCTGCTGTGTAAACTGTGAATGACAGAAGGTTGACAGAGAAACTCAGAGTCTGATTCTTGAAGAGATTTCTTTTCACTTCACCGCATCTCATCTTGATCTCGCAATTTATTCAGTGTTTCACGAGCCACTGAGACACTTTCAGTCTGTCTGGTTAAGAAACACAATTCAGTCAACAGTGATCAGCTGCTACCTTCTGCAGGAGTGTGCAGCTCCTCAGCGTCTTCTTTACAGGTTGCGTACGGGTTGTTTCCAGCCATCGGGATGAGACAGTCTGTGTGCATGTGGCCGACTCTGCTCATGTTGAGCGTGGACACGATGAGGTCCACTGCCAGCTGACCCACATTTCCAACAGCTACTGCTGGCTGGGGGGAGAAGACAACAAGAGTAGGTGGCAGTTATTTTGCTCACTTATCAACGGACTTAGCCTCTGTTTCATGCAAAAATGCAGTTGTACCTTCTCATATATGATGGTTTTCTGCCTTTTTTTTGTTTAAATCACAGTAAACTTAATTATTTTTAAGTGTGGACCAATTGTTGGACAAAACAAGCAACATAAAATGTCACCTTGAGCACTGAGCAAGCTAAATGTCAAACAATTTTTCAGTGTATTGAGAAAATAATCTGCAGAACTATAGAAAACAGTAAAGGTCCCATATTGTGGCCCTTTTGTAACAGAAGTGACCGTGGGTCTGTACTACTGTTGTCTGACAACAGACACAGAAAAATATGTAAATAACAGCAGCTTTAGTGGGGATTTGTCTGTTTTAAAATGCAGTATATGGGAGCTTAGAGAGCAGGACAGAAGAAAACAGATGGAGCACCCACCCAGTCTTTGTTTATTGGTTATTTATTGGCTATTAACAGTTTCCATCATCTCTAAATATCCCTCAGCGTTATGGTTTCCACAGAGCTCAGACCTTGTGGCCACATTAGCAGTGGAACATACGAATAGCAAGAATTTTCCTTGTGCTGTGGGACGTTACCATCAAAAATAACCCTTCAGTTCCTAAGATGCTGTCAGTGCATGACGACTTTTGTGTTCACTCTTGCAGCTAAACACAAACTGAGACATTTTAGAGTTAGCAGGAGCAGTAAAGTAAAGTAGACCTGTTAGACTGAGAGGCATCTGTTCATTCTGAGTAGTTAACCTGCAATCAGCGAGTGGTCAGGGACATACCCATTTAAATACGCCAACTTCTTACTGGCTTTTAAAAGTGGAAGTCTTCATATCTTAACAGCTTCGAAGTTTTAACAAACAAAAGACAGAATAAAAATGGCTTTTCACTATATGGGACCTTCAAAGATATTCTCCACATAAAGCAAAATAAACTGCACTGAGCACTTTAACGTGTCATATTTAAGCACTACAGCGTTTACATACGTGGACTTTTACTTCTAATTACCTGACTTAAATGCAAAAGATGGTCACATTAATTTGAGTCAGAGGTTTTCTGCAGCTTCAAGTCTCAAGTTTAACTATAAATCGGGAGCATCAACTAGATTTTTTTTTTCTACTCACCATGACGAGGGTGAAATCTTTGAAGGAGGGCGCTGAGTTTTGTGAAGAAATAAACATGATGCCGTTTGGTCAGCAGACGCTAAGAAATAAAATATAAACCGACTACAAGATTTAAACGTGGTGATATGAGCTAAAAAATGATAATTTCCCGGCAGCTTTCACTTCTATTTTCATGCCGGGTGTTGGGGGCCTTTCTCTCTTTGACCTGTGGCGACTGTTGATGATGAAACGGTTTTAGTAGCGCCTGTAGATGCCTGAATGAAATGTAGCGGCGAAGCTTCAACAAAAATATATATATATTCAGGCATATTTTGGGGCAACTTGAAGCTCCGCAAAGACTCAATGCACATTAGAGATATTCAACTCAGTAACAGCGCGATCTTATACTATAAAAATCAGAGAACAGATCGTAATAATAATAATACTAATAATGATAATAATTTCTAAGAGCAAAGTTATGTTTTTTTTATCCATTAAAAATGCAATTAAAGACATTAACATGCCTTAAAGACGCTGACATAAACTGTATTAGATTTTTTTTTTTTTTAATCCAAATATTACTCAACAGGAAATCATTATAACATAGAGATATGTGAGAGATGTGACATATGGATATTTATTGATAAACAAAACACTGCAGCATCATATTCGTGGGATTCGAATTTAAAAGAGCCTGCTAAACGAAGATTATTAATTAACATGAGTATTGTGACAACAATAACAACACATCGTAACACATGAAATTAATACAATAAAATATCTGACATCAGGTTGCACTATATTATCATTCTGGACAAGACATTTCCCTTTATTCTGTTAAGTTTTTTAGTATGAGCTTGAGTTTCTGAACAGTTTTTGGATTAATCAGAGTTAAATGAAGTGAGAGATTAAACACGAAGAACTAATAAGAACAAAAGGAAGCACTTTGTTCAACCAGAAATATTGTGCTTGATTCATCAAATTACAAAGTCTAAATCAACTATAAATCAAGAACTATATTTGTTACCTACAAATATACTGCCAGCTATTAATAGTGAGATTTTATTTATTCTTTTTAAATGCATGGTTGGGATTTTGTGTAGGAAAACAAGCTGTGACAAATGAAAGAATTCATGTAAATCACACAAGGTGCAACTAAACAGGCAAAAACAGATCGATGTGTTAATAACAGTACCTATTCCTTTATTTCACAGTGAAACACAAGTGCCAACAGATCAACACTTGTCAATGCAGACAGATAGTGTGCCATCAGTTCAGTTATTTCGGCTTGACTTCATTGGGAGCAGGCAGGCCTTTCACCGCAGCCACAGCATTGTCTACCATCTGCTGTACTATCTTGCTTGTTGTGGTGTAAGTGTTGGTGCCAACGTGGGGCGTGATGAGCACGTTAGGGAGGCCGAGGAGAGGATGATCCCTGCACAGAATCAAGCAGAAGACATGTTAAGAGGAGGAGTTTCACTTGTATTACATCAGTTAAAATAAAGTCTTACGCGCAGACTGATGGACAGATCAATTCTTTCTATTTAGGTTTTTGGGTTTTAAAGGATATCAAAGCTGGCATTAGAGGTTGAGAAATGTCCAGTGATTTATATTTTAAAAATGCATTTATTGAGTTTTGTGGGAGCTTTGGAACAATGTCCAAGACACAACATGTCAACCAAGGCATTCAGCACACAGAGTAACATCAGATTTAATGTGGAATCGTGTCTCCATCGATTTAACAAATACGAGCCCAATGTTCACTCTCCTTTTAGCTTCGTTTTGATTTCCACTGACTCTAAAGCTAAAGCTAAACGTTCCTCTGTATTCATTTATTGGTCACTAATTGTACGCTACCAAACAGTTGGCAGTGGGTTTCTCAGAGGTGCAGCAACAGGTGGTGGAGACCAAAATAGAGCTTGTTACAGTCCTGAGCCACTGTGGTCCTTCACCCTTTGTTTTTATATTAACCGTGTCCTGGTTTTATATCTATATTAACATGTGTTGGACCTGGTTAAGGAGTTTTTTATAAGCACATTTTGCAGGTAAGTAAATGTTTAGATGGCAGGTTTTGGGTTCTACTTCTGTACTTTTTGTTTTTGGTTAGTGAGTTATTTTGAGTCCTTTAGTTATAATAAAGATGAGGTAGGTGGGTTCAAAACTTTCAGTTAGATAGCCACCTTTTGTTTGTATCAACCTGTTATTTCTGAGTAGCATCCACTGCCCTCTGTTCCTCCTTGCGCATGACCTGTGCTGATTTAATGTTGTTATCTCAAAAACCTATTATTCACTAAAACACTTCCAACTTTGGTACAACTGTGACCATCTGGTTGTTTTTATGTTACTTCTCTTTCCCTTTGGGCGCTGAATCATAACAGAGCTGGAAGGACAATACTAAAATACAGGATTTGGATTAGTCATCCAGCCAGTATGACTCAAAATGAATACTGATGCTGTTCCACGTGTTAACACATTCACTACAAAAATATTACAGTGATCGGTCAAAGCTGTATCTGCAGCTTTTGTGCTGATCCCAAATGTTTAAAATTATCAGTTTCTGCAATTTCAGTTAAAAGACAAACAGCTTCAAAGACATGAATGTACAAATCCATCATCAAAGTACAAAAATCACATAAAAAAATAATGAATAATACTGAATATTGTGTACTTTATGTTTATGTAATGTTATTTACCTTTTAAAACTACTGATGGTTCTGCATATCTTGCATGTCAGAACACAGTGTTCACTTAAAGTGTATAAGGATTATGTTATGCATCAGAGTGTTTGGAGAGTGTGGGTGTTTTCACAGAGACGGTACCTGGGTAAAGGTTCAGGGTAAGTAACGTCTAAAGCTGCTGCTCGAATCGTTCCAGACTGCAGAGCTTTGACTAATGCATCCTGGTCCACAACTCGACCTGAAACATAAACAGAGACAAAATTAGACCAACTATTGCTGTTTCAGGACAGCTTGACAGATTAGAAAAGGGAAGGAAACGCATCACTCCCACCCCTGCTGACGTTGACCAGTGTTGCTGTGGGTTTCATGAGGGACAGCTGCTGGTGGCTGATCAGTCCTGTGGTTTCAGGCGTCAGGTTCACCGCCAGCATGACAAAGTCGGACTCTTTCAGCAGGTCATCCATGTTCTTGCAGAAAGTCGCCCCCACTGCCTGCTCATCCTCAACACTCCTGAACAGCACCCAGAAAGACAAACATCGTGTTGATTTATTGCTCTAATGCCTCAGTAGCAATCTATGTACAAGTAACTGTCGCATTGGATTTTTTAGGTGACATTTTGCCATCCAAAACCTCTCAGTTAAACTCCTTATGTATCTTTAAACTGTCTTTTACCTTCTGTTTCTGTTGTGATACAGGATCTTCATGTCAAACCCTTTGCCTCTCTGAGCGATTTTGTATCCGATGTCTCCCATTCCGATGATCCCTAGTGTCGACTCAGAGACTTCATCTCCCATCAGGCATTGTGGTAGGTGGGTTGTCTTCGGGTCAACGGCTATGTGGTGACCTACAAGGAGATGGACCAAAACACTTGAACGGGTTTCTAACACATTATTTACTTCTGCTATCCTCGTGTGATTACTTAGTATTTAAGATGTTGTGAGCTGTAAATACTTTATACTACATACAGTATGTCACCAGAACTGTACAACATAAAGCAAGAGACAAGATGATGATAATTATGAGAGGCAGTATGGGAATGAAGCAAAATTCTTCAAACCATATTACTCTAAATTATGTTGTAGATTCAGGTATTCATCTTTCATTTACCAAGAGAGGGGAAAAAAAGACCAAGAACCCATTTTTCTCTAAATGAGTTTGGATTTTAGTTTCTACATCTGAAAGAATCGAAAAGTTTCTGCCTTTTTCTTCTTCTACCAATAATCTATACATACATTCTATTTTCTGAGGGTTGCACTATAACTGTTTCACGTTGGGTTTGGCTTCAGTTAACCGTCGACCTCACCTTCGACCACCTTCCGTGCTGACGCCAGCAGCAGAGCCATACCGATATCTGCGGTGGCGTTGCTCACCACGCCGGGCGTGTTGGTCACCTTCACACCAAGACTGTTGATGTACGGCACGTCCAGGTGGTCGATGCCCACTCCTCCGTTGGCCACCACCTTCAGCGACGGAAGCAAACTGAGCAGTGAAGGTTCGACAGTAGGGAAGCTGTTCCACAACAACACGGCCTGGATTTTTGGGCCGTGCAGCTGCGGGTTTTGTTGAAAGTCTTTGAGGCAGACAACGTTGAAGTTTCGTTTTATGATGTCAGCAAGGTCTTCGAAGTAACCCTGCTCGCCCACCTCTGAGATCAGAGCCCATGGTTTGTCCTCCGCCATTACCTGGTGGGAAGTAGCAGACATTAAAGGTTGCATATGGTGAAATCCATTATTGTTGTGTTTTGTTTGTCTTAAAAGAGCCCTGTGATAGACTGGTGACCTGTCCAGGTGTCCCCTGCCTTCACCCTGAGTCAGCTGGGATAGGCTCCAGCCCCCCTACCACCCAAGTGAGGATTAAGCAGTGTACAGATAATGGATGGATGGATGGATGTCTTAAAAGCTTAAAAGTATAACATAGAAGTTGTGAGAATCGGACCATTCTTGAAGCCTCTCCACTAGATTGCCTTAAACCTTTGCAAGCCAGAGAGAACTTCATCCAGTTTTCACGTACAAAGTGAGGAACCAGTAATTATCCAGCTCAAATTTAGCACCATCCTGTCTCCTCACTGCCTGCTGCTTCCCTGGTGACTCATTCAGAATGAACAGCTGAGTCGCATTCCAGCAGATTTATTTACTGTCTTGAGCTGCCTCTGCTAACTCTGCTAAAATGTCTCAGCCACCAAATGTTCGTCTGTTGGCAGCAACAGCAAACCAAAAAACACTCCCAGCATCTGAGGAGCTGAAGATTAGGGGTTTACTTTATATTTAATAGAAGTCCTCAAAATTAACATTTTGTGGAAATGTTAAGACCTATTTGAAACCAATAAACAAAGACTGGGTGTGGGTTTCTTTCCCCCTTCAGTGTGCCCTGAACTCAGTCGTTTACATCGGTGAGCTTCTCTCCTGCTCTCTGTGCTCAAACACATTGTATTTTAATACAGCCAAATTTCCAATTGAGTTGTTTTAATATGAATATTTTTTATTCATTCATCATTTTATTCATTTTATCCATTATTCTGCTGCAACTGCTGCACAGTCACAGTGTTGCTCTGCGCTATCAATCACAGACGCACAGAGAGTTTTCTTCCCATCTTTCAAACAAAGCCTTTTTTAAAAAAATGAAAATATTCAAAAGTGCCTTAGCAGCCATGATTGTTCTGTAACAGTTAAGTCACTCAAATGTGCTAAGACTGAGCAGTTTACTCTCAATTAACTTAACAATTAAACTTGGCCGTGTAACTTCTGCCTCTCTCTATTTTGAGGACATCTTGTTTGAAAAAACTTTATTGTAACAGACAGTGGACAAAAGTTGTCTTTGTATTTCCGGTCATGGCGGCCGGTTGTTAACATTAACAGTGTGAACAGAGAAGCTCCAGATTAAAACTCAGCGTATAAAATGAGTTCACGCTTCGTACATGTTTCATAAAACTGCCACAGTGTCTGCCCTGCTTTAAATGCTAACCCTGCTAGCATGAGGGACGACAACTAGTGCACTGCTATAATGTTCCGGGGGAGGTTCGCGACACATAGAATGTTCGTTCCGGAGACGCACGTAAGTTGACATGAAAGATAAAAACATTAAAACTTACAAAAAAAACTGGAAGTACAGTGAATGGAACTGACCTGAGTTTACTCACAAGTATTTCTTACAGTGGCTTCCTTCTCCTGTTGAACCAGGAAGAACTACTTAGATAGCTGGACGAATTTCAAACTAAGTGCTTTTTTTTTGTTTTTTTGATTAAAAAAACAAGCAAACAAAACAAAAAAAAACATAGCATATCATATGATAACATAACAAATAAACAAGCTTCTAAAAATTGTAGGACACTATTATTATTATTATTATTAATAATAATAATAATAATAATAATAATAATAATAATAATAATAATAATAAAGATATTATATTCTCTGAACAAATATAAATGTGGTATATATTATTTAATTAAATTTTAAACATAGGGTAAAAGTTTAAAAGGTGTTTGCTGTTCCAACTTATGGCATCTTTACAACACAACAGATGTCAGAGTAAAGTTGCATTTTAAGGTGGCCTCCTATAGTCACCGATCAAAGCAGTTTCTGTGTACTGGTCACTGTATCTGATGTTTTTCCGTTAAAGCCAAACCCTGACCCGAACCCTGACCAGACCAGGGTGAGGATTAACTCAGCGGTGAGAATGTGTCACCAGCTGAACAGCTAATAATTGAAATGCACTTTCTAGCCTTAATTTTGCATGAGATCATTTGTGTTTTTGTGGAAAAATGTCTGCGATTACAAAACTAATTTATGTAAAATTACAGAACCAATACTTTGGAATGTAATTTAACTGTATTTTTATGTCAAAAAAGTGTTATGGCTATTTATACTTACAAGTTTGTGATGTTATTTTCCATTTGATAAATACATTCGTCATCTATTTTTGTAATTTTAGTGAGATATATATATAATATATTCTAAACCTACAGGCTGAAACCACTCCTTTTCTTAACCCTGTCTTCTTATTCCATCCACGTTTTGCATCCTGCATATTCTCCATACTGTCACACTATGTGTCACCAGATCACAGCATGTGATAAATGCCTTCACGTTAAGTTTCCAACTGGACAGTACCTTTCTGTGTAGCAGCTGATGCACAGATCTGTGCAGGTTTGCCACTTTAAGAAGCCGGTATCCTGGTGCTGGAGCCCACAGTCTCCTCACACAGCGGACATAGAGGAGACATGTCATACTGGCTGGAAAGTTGGTGATATTGTAAGAGTAATATAACCCCAGGAGAAACTGCAATCACAAAATCGAGATTACAGTATTAAAAAGATAATTAACAGTTGCAGCACATAATAGAATGCACATTATATGTCAAACATGTTAAAAACATGCATGCAGTTGAAGTCCGTAGGTTAAATTGCTGCAGGTAAATGATTAACGTGATACTTGTTTGTCAACTAAACAACCCCAAACAAACTCAGGACAAACTTCTTTTCATTGAAAGTTATTGAAGCTCTCACCGTTTCACCTGGAAGCTGTTTTCTGATTCTGGAGTAAAAACTGGCTTTTAAGAGAAAAGGGGCAGAGGCAGATATTCAGCTGGCCTTGAATAAAGCCCTCCTCCCTTTTACTTTAGGTGAAGATTAAGCAGATTCAAATTTAGACAGTAACAGCAGCCCAGTGGGCCATCCACTCCCTCTGGCTTTAAGAGGAGCAAACAGAAAGAATTCATTGAGCACATCGAGCGGGCAGGCGGAGGCTCCGGGGTGGTGACTGGTGCATCAAACTAAGCAGTGGGACAGCGATCAAAGGTCATTAAATACTCCACTGTTTACAAAGAGAGTGTACACGGAGCTGATTATATTTGGTTCAGTCATTCCTTCCACTCGGTTCTCCTCATCTTATTAGTTTTTTCATGTTTCCCCTGAATTCACTGGGAATTTCAGTTTTGGTTGAATGAAACTAATTACCCTGAAGGGCAAGTTAAGCAACTGTAGCAGAAAATAATAATTGGGAGAGCAGCGTATCTTAAAAGAAGGAGAAAATGTGCTTTTTAAGTGTATGCAAACTGGCAAGGACAGTTGTGACCAAATGTGTGCAAAAAGCATCAACACACTTTATGATAATGTGATATTTGTACATTGTGAAAAGGTGGATTAATGGCAAAAAATATAATAATCACATGCATGTATTGATATGCAAATCATAACAATGAGAAAACAGTGGGCGTATGATTAGAAATTATGCATGCGTATTAGCAAAATGTGTTTAAATTCACATTAACGTGTTCCAAAAGAGGCTATGAAGGTTTTTTTCATTAAAGAATCAAATCACAGTGCAGCCGATATTCCCTCCACCTCAAGAAAGTAAGTTTGCGTCATTTAGTAGCATTTTGTAAAACTGCAGCTTCAAAGTGCTTCACAGAGGAAGAGAAAGGAGATGTTCTGCAGAAACCACAAAATCCAAAGTTCTGACATCAAGAAAAGGAAACCGATATAGTTTGAGTTGCTTTGAAAGTTTCATGTGAAACACTTCTAAACCACCTGTGACAATGCTGCACATGTCACCTGCAGAGTGAGGCTGGGAGATGATCATTCAGTGATAACAGGAAACACTGACAACAATGAGTGAGAGGTGTTCATGAAATGTGTTGTTGAAACGTGTGTGAAGTCAGCACGCAAACTTGAGTCCAGCTGGTTGCTGCTGGATGAGCTTTGGTAACGTTTCACCAAATGTTTAATACATTGCATATAAAACTCCTCCAAAACACCTTTAAACATGTAACCACTAGGTGGCATTAAGACATTGAGCTGGGACTGTGTGGCAGCATTAAGACCGCTTTCACTGCTCTGGCTGAAAGCTTAAGTTTTCTAAAACTATGAATCTCCAGACAGCAGCAAAATGCACTGTGGTCTGCAACATGTTTGGTTTTTGATCTGCGTCATGCGATTCCTTAAAACGAAGAAATATGTGCACTCTGAGTTTTAGTTCATGTACGGTTTATTGCAAGAATTTTTAAAGGCCTCGAGAGTGAAAAGCAAGTTGGAAAAAATAAATAAATACAGTTTTATGCAGCAGTTTTCGCCTCTTTAATGTTATGTTACTAATAAGATGGAAATCGCACCGTGTAATAAGTCCCAAGAATATTTTATGTAAAGATGGATTAGTTTATATACAATTAATAAATCAGACTTTATTGTGTAGCACTTTTCATACAAATGAAATGTAACACAAAGTGCTTAACACAACAGAGGGACTGACAAAGCAATAAAAAAAAAAAAAACAATAAAAACAATAAAAGCAATACCCTCCAACCCGCCTCATAAACATGATGTTACAACCAAAGGACTCAATAAAACTGAGGAACTGGTTTACTTTTGCGTTATTGGATGGAAGTGTCTCACTCTGTTTTCAAGTGCATTTATACTGTGAGAATAAAATGTTATATTTATTATATAATAATAATGTGTAAATATTTGGTCACATCACCTATTTAGGAAATTTGGAGGGATAGATCTCTCTTAGTATAAATTACATTGGGATTTGTCTGATATTAGTTGGTTGCCTTTTTGCGCACTTCTTTTGCTAATTTTGGAACCTTATTTTCCAAAATACCTTAAAACAAAAAGGTGCTTTGTTTAAACTGTGAAATATTTGCAAAGCACACGTGCTCCTAAAGACCAGCATCCAGCCTCTTTTCACTCACGCTCATATCTAGACGTTGCGATTGTTGCGAGTCTCCAAATGTATCAATCAAGGGTAAGTTCTGGAGATCATTTTTTAACTTTAATTGCTTGTTTCTGAGTCACAGCAACTTGTAATAAAACCAGTAAACCAGTAAACTACACTGCATGAAGGGAATTAGCCTTTTTAATCAAAGGTATTTTTATATACCAGCCTTAACCTTTTGAAAATGTCCAGGCATGTTGTGACAGAGGAGGGTCTTGAAGTCCTGAACTCAAAAGTTAAGTTGCATTAACTTAAATTTATTTTTAAATCAACTCATGCAGAAATTTGAGTCAAAGTTACACACAATGTTCAGTTGATGCGATTACCGACATTATTGCGTCAACCCAACCCATCAAAATAATGTCTATAACTTAAAAGGTTCATCTAAATCAGTGAATTGGATGAATATCTTGGAACCATGCATTTAATAGGTCCTTGAATTACTTTTTAGAGTGTGGATATGCAGTTGAGACTCTGCTGCTGCATCGCCCACCTGCAGATTCGGTGCGCAGAAGCTAAGGTTGAGGGGTTTGCTTTGATGCGATCGCCTGCGTGTGCGTGTTCCTGCATCAGAACATCAGTGGAGGTCATGTGTGCAAGACAGTTGCAGATCAGCTGTACCTGCTTTCCTCTGTTGCGTAATCTCTCCACTTCAACTTAAAGTGTCTGCTCATCCCTTTGTCCTTTCACTCCTCCTCCACACCTGTATCTGTCACTCCTCTCCTACTTCTTTCTCCACTCATCTGTCACCTGGACACCCCCCCAAATTTCACTTCTAAATTTGTTTCACTCCTCTCCTCCTGTCCTTCACTCTTTGCTCCTCCCATCCAAAATCTACCTCCCTCGTCGTCCATGAAGCTGCAACCTTCTCTCTTCTTGTCCATCGGAGCCGGCCAGGAGTCATTCAGGCTTTCATTAAGCCAGTTCAGACCTCCAGCCAAGCTCCAGTTCCATCTGCCGCCACATCCGACAGCAGGTGGCCTTTTAGCAAAGTGCTGACTCACACGATAGACACGGCAATTATATCTCTGCTTCATTACACAGCATTTAGCCTCTTGTTGTCGGTGCTCTACTCTGATCACATGGAAGTATTATCTATATCGCACCAGGGTGTCCAAGGGCCGATTCTGTTGCGGTCCCTCCTGATGACAGATTTAGTTGTGTGGCATGTCAAGAGTCTCATGCCTGCAGTCAGGTGACGGGTTTTAAACGGTTGTCATGGTGCAGCACAGAGGAGACAGTGAGTGAAAAACTCCTTAAGTAAACTCCATAATCGATTGCTGACGTGAGTCCACAGGCCCGTCCTGACTCAGCTTATCAGCACCACAGAGCCCTAAAGACAAGATGTAGTTGCTTTTCATGGCTCCCCCGAGCAGATAAAAATAAAACAATAAACCAATGCAGATGACTTTGGCAAGGTTTTTTAGATTTATATTGTGGTGTCTTATCTATTGTCTTTTTGGCTTCTTGCAGAAGTAAAATGCAGTAAAACAGCACAACAACAAACAAACGTGTATTGTTGTAAAAACACTGGCATATTTTCATTTCTAAATGTAGTTTAGGCCTGCTTCCTCGTTATTTACAGGTCTTTATTTGTATAAAAGCTCCAAGTGGTTACAGTCTGTGGTCCCAGGATCTGTTGCTACTGTCTTTTCCTAAGGCTAGAACCGAACTGGGAAAGAAAGCTTTTAAATTCGCTGCTCCCTCGACCTGGAACACATTGCAAAAAGACCTGAAACTTCAAGTGCTCCTAATTGACTTGGAGGCAAAATCATCAGTCTGTAGATGTTTCAACAGATGATTATTTTGCTAGTTATGTTTCGGATCTGTACTGATATGTTGGTTTCTTATCTTCAATATGTGATCTCACCATGTATTATGAGTATGATGTCTGTGTGGATGTGACCTTGTCTGTCTGTCAATTGTGCTGCTGGCTGTCTTGGCCAGGACACTCTTGTCAAGGAGATTTTTAATCTCAATGAGCCTTTTTCTGGTTAAATAAAGGTTAAATAAAAAATAAAAAACAAAAAGTCACATTCTAAACAGATAACAATTTTCTATAGGAAATAATAAAAGTTGTTTCTCAAGAGTCAAAATGTCACTTGTAATATTTGCATTTGAGAGTTTATGAATTTCACGAAAATGCAACATTTGAATTTGATGTTTTGAATTTGTTTATTTTCTGTTGAGGTTTTTCTTTTTCACACATATCATCAAACCTGTGCACAGTATCCCGTGTCTATTTCAACTTTTAGAATTAATGGTTTGTATAACTTAAGGTGTTAAACACGTTTCCGGACCCTGGTCAAGGAGCAACACAAATATTTAAAAGTTCTGCATTCAAAATCTTACTTGCAATGTAAAAATGGACTTTATCAGATTACAACAACAAGTATTATCAGAAAAATGTACTTAAAGCATCAGAGGTTTAAAAAAAACAGCCCGTGTGCATGTTGTATTATTTCATACCAGTAATTTTTAGTTACGTCTGCAGCTTTTTATTGCGTTAGTCGTTTGAAAGCTCATTAGAACTGCTTTACATTCTGTTGGACCATTTGCTGCTCAAATGCATTATATGTTAAGCTGATCATACCATGTGTTGTGTATGCAAACATATGTATGCAAATTCATTCTTTTCCTGTGCAATGTAGTTCATTAGAAGTACAAAGGTGCATGAAATGAAAATACCCAGGTAAAGTGTGAATATGTCTAAACCAGGGGTCTCCAATCCTGGTCCTCGAGGGCCACAATCCTGCATGTTTTAGATGTTTCTCTCTTCCCTCTAACACACCTGATTCAAATGATCAGGATCGTTATCAGGCTTCTGCAGAGCTTGATGATGAGCGGATAATTTGAATCAGGTGTGTTGGAAGAGAGAAACATCTAAAACATGCAGGATTGTGGCCCTCGAGGACCAGGATTGCCAACCCCTGTTCTAAACTGTAGCATAGCAGATGTTCTGGTTTGGAGCATGTTGACATTTATCTTTTCAGGCATTTCATCCTAGTTTCTCTTTAATTTTCCTTCCTGTTAAAATATTATCTTACATGCATGCATGCCCCTTGGTTCTGAGCATGTTTCCAGATCCTGCTATGAAAATGTATTTGTTGCTGTTGGACTGTGAGCGTAGTAAGTCCCAAACAACCAGAGATTAAAATGTAAATGCATGTGTAATTGCTGTATAGAAAACATAGCTTTTATGCATGAATGTTTGTGCACTCTTGTAAAAAAAAAAAGTGTCTCTAGTTTATTCTCTCTGCTGACATCTCATGGTTCAGCTCTTTCTGCTTAAACTGCACGGTGACAACCTGTTGATCTCGTTAGAGGACACCAGCAGGACATTGTTCTGATTGAAAATTACACAAATGTGACAAATAGCTTTAACACCTGCCCCCAGTTACTCAGGCTTCCCTAAGGTTGTTTTTTTTTTCCTCCTGGGCTTTTCTTGGATGGGTTCAGAGGATTTCCCTCTTTGCAGGTGCTCCTGTTTTGCAGAAACACAGCAGCAAACCCCACACATACTGACACCTGTGTTGTTCTGATTGCACCGAAGAAGCTCAACACGCAACACTCAGCATGTTCTGGTTGAGAATAAATTCACCTGCTGGGTAATCCAGTCAGGCTGAGCATTAGTGTGCTGCTCATGACGCACAGCGCTGGGCGGTGAAGTCACAGGTCGCCTCTGAAGCTGTTCTTGTTTTCTGACTGCTGGAGGATCATCGGCTCCAGTCTGGTATCCACTGAACTTTGTCTACTGATACAGGGGACACCTGTGTAATCATATTTGCACGTACAGAACAGAATTTCCCCTCAGGGATTATTGAAGCTCTTCCATTCATTCATTCTCTTGCCTCACTGTCACGCTGATGAGTGAGTTGGCCGCATGTGTCTCATGAAAAATGAGAAAATTAACTTGCTGCAAAGCAATTTAAAGAGCAGCAAAGACACTATGATGCATCGTTATTAGTGATCTTCATTGTGGAGAATGTGCAACTTTTTCCAATGTGCAACTGTGAATGGCTTTTTCTCAATAAGATCACGATCATCAGCCAGGGAAGGCTGCCAGAAAACTTAGCTCACCTCTGAGCTTTGGCCACGCTCCTCAGCAGGTTCAGAGCAGCACAAGGTTGGCTCTGTCTGGTTAGGTAACAGATAATCGTTGGGAAGAAGCAGTTGTACCTCAACTGTGCAGCTCAGTGGCTTCTCCATCAAGCACCAGCTACTTAGCCTCGTCTACAAAGCCCCTGTTACCTAATGACAGAGCCCGTGTAGAGCCATGGGCCGGCTGATTTAGAAGGTGGCAGGTACAGTTCAGAGAATCCTGTCTGTTGAGCTGGAGCATACCGGGCTTCACTGGTGTGTGTGTGTGTGTGTGTGGTGTGCAAAGTTGGGGATTGCTCTTCAGTGGACAGCCAGTCAGATCAATGTTATGCAAACCTATTAGTCAGAGGTTGCAGTGCTGGCTCCACACAGTACTCAGGGACTCTCCCTCAGGGTCGAACTCACTGATGAGCTCTCACCTCTGTGAAGAGTGAATAACAATGCTGTCTGCTGGTTAAAGGCCCGCGACAGACAGCCGCAGCTTTATAATGTCACACAATGCCACAGTGCTGAATTACTCACCATTTAGTGTCGCAGGTGCATCTGCAACGTCATCATTAACATTTGGAAATGTTACCCTGAATTTGCACCAAAACTAAACTCATGACTGAAGTTTAATTGTTTAACACTTGACTTATTGATGTTGTGGCTGCTTTCCTCACAGTTTTTTATAAGTTTGCATGTTCTGTACAACTTTTAAATGTATGAATTGTAATATATTTTTATATGTTCATAATCACAGATTATACTTTTTAAAAACACTTTAGATGCTTTTTATTTCCTCAAGTTGGAGCTGCTCATTATTCACCTGCTTCTTATGTGTGTGTTGTATTTTCTGCTACAGACTACAAAACTTTACATAGTTAGTGCATGACATGCAACAACAAAAAACAACTAAACTGTTGAAAAACTACATAAAAATTATCTCACCATATATTGCTGTTGCATGCATCACCTCTGCTGTACTTATTAATCACTGTTTCTTCAGTTAAACAGTAGTGTATGATAATAGTCAGGCTTACAGGGAGTTTAGTCTGTGCTGAGATGTTTTTCCTGCATTATTTTCTTTAATATATATTATGATGGACTTTTCAACAAAGAGGAAGCATGATGGAGTTTCAGCTCCCAGAATCTGAGTTGAAGCCTCTGCATGCATGTCTCATTCATGTTTATCAGACATATAAACCTTTTGTGGCATGCAAAAAGCAAATTTGCATGTAATGGATCATTGTGAACTCTGTCAGTGTGATCAGGATTTTGCTGACTCAAACGAAGGGAGGGGGTTCTCAGTGTACTTTATAAGGCCATTAAGGAAATGCTCCCTGGAACACCGGCTGAGTAAGCCCTGTGGCTTTGACTTCCTCTAATCATCTTAGGCAAAGCATGGCTCCCAATGTGCCTGCATGGGAACACCTGTACTGGGCCACAGCAAATGCATGGTGGATATCATCATAATCTGTCTCATGGTCATCGTGCAATACTCAGAAATAAATAAGCTTATTACATTATTGCTCCTGCAGAACATATCAGCCCCGAGGCCATGAGAGGTAATGCAAAGTGAGCAGAGAGAACTTTTTCATGCAAATATTTGAAATGTAGTCTTGAACTCAGTTGTTTGTCTTTCCAGAGGTCTAGTATGCAAATATCACTCATTTGGGAGAAAACAGAACGGCAGGTAAAAACACACAGAATGCATGCAAAACCATATGATGAGAATATTTATATATAAGTATATGAGCAGGTATGAGCTGAAGATACACAACCTGCACAGTTCTGCCGTTTGTGTAGAGCTGCACAAATAGCTAAAAAAAAATAATCTCTTGAGCTTTCAAAAAAAAATTTTTTTTTCTCCCCCTTAATGGCCAAAATAGTGACAGTCTATAAATCAAATAAACTTTTACGACTGAAAATGAACAGTAGATGCTCTTAATGTCAAGAAAATCAGAGTTAAAATAACATAAAACATTATAAATCTTTTAAAGATTATTTTGAAAAGATGAGAGGATGAAAACAGAGCAGTTAAAAATAATTAGAAGATGTACACTATACATGTAAAATGTTGCAGAAATTTAAATGAAGCTATACAGAGACTGGAAAACAGAAGACCAGATAAATAGAACAACATGCAGTTAATAACATAAGAAAGCTGTATTTGAAGCTTTTTTTAATGTGCACCACTGTAGCTAATTTAAGCAATGTGCCCAGAAAAACTTGCTGCTTGCTGCTCAAATGTTTCTTGATGCTCCTTGCAGAATATTAGAAAGTCAGCCGAGCTAAAGATGGGCATTGTAATTTGCCCAACAAGGTCGTGATTCTCTGGTTGGTTGCAAGAAGAAAAAAACAACAAATATTAGAATTAAGACCCTGCAGTGTTATTTTTATGCAAATGTACCTGGATTATTTAAACATGACAGTAACAATCTTACTAAAATTGCATACAAATTTACCTGACTAAATTCTGCAGCAAGCACAAGACCAACTAAGCATATTATATATAATCCAAATTAACCTGACTGAAATAAAAAAATAAAAAATATTCAGACTAATTTACTGCACTGCCACTTTTTCTTTCTTTCTTTTTTTTTTCTTTTACTACTAGAACTTTTGTTCTCACTTACAACCGTGTTTTAATGAATGAACTAGTCAGAAAAACCAACAACTCGTGCGTACATTTTTACATACTAATCGTCATTCAGGTGCCCCGGTCCCTGTTGCCAGGACAACGCGGCCTCCCATTGGCCGCCGCCGCACCATGTGACCCGCGGCCCTGACGTCACGGCGCGGTGCTGCGGGGCTAAGCAGAGTGAGCGCAGCGGCTCCGGGAAAAAAGCTGGTGGAGTTTGGACTGAACACAGCCGGGGAACTCCAGCTCCTGTTGTCGCCTCCTCGCTAGCTCTTGAAAACTTTTCCTGCCCCGGTGACACTAGGTTATGGACTACTAACGGAGACTTTTTAACAAAACAACAGCCCCTCCGCAGCAACTTAAAAGCGAGGTAAGTTGTCGCTAACGTCCGTCTCTCTCTCTCAGTTCGCTTCCTGATACTTTTTTTTTTTTTTCCCCAATTTCCTCGCAGCTCAGGTGAGATGTGTCCAAGAAGTGTCTTTGCTGCTTGAAACTAACACCCAGCTTTCCTATTCCTCTTAAGAACAACACATTTCCCTGCCTAACTTTCCTCTGCAGCGGCGTTTACACGAAGCTAGCAGCGGATAAAGCTTTACCTACATTAGTAATCGGATGAAGCTGCTCCTTCTCGTCCTAAATGCTCCTCAGCGGTGCTCCGTGTTGTCTTTACACTCCATTTGACTGAAGCATGAGTGAGGGCAGGAAGTGGAGGAAAAAAAAAAAAGAGAGAGTCCTGCTCCTGCACAAGGCTGAGTGAGGTATCTCATTTCAGCAAATACACATCAGTCAGTCAGTGGATTAAAGCAGCAGAGAGGAGGCAGCTTTATTGAACCAGTGAGTGGAAATGTTTGTTTTCCTGCAAAAAAAACAATAAGTGTTAACGGTGTTACACTCTCAGTTTTCTTTAATTAGATGAGCTGTGGTGTGCTTGCATGCTTTAAGATACTCTCCTCAGAAGACTTGAAGGTGATAAAAGAAGTCAGGAATGTCAGATTGATCATTTATCAAGTAGTTTAAAGAAAGTGCTGTCATCAGTTCTGATCTGTAGATGAAATGTTTGCAGGTTGCAGCTTCTCAGATGGGACACGAGCCGCTTTTACTTGATTCAAGGGCTGCAACCAAGACTTATTTTCATTATCAGTAGTTGAAAATTTTAAATAATTGCTTAAAACATATCAGAAAACTCTCTGTGCTGCAACAATAGAGTGGCAGATCAGATTTAATGAGAAATTTGCAAATTATTTTTCATCAACAGCCACAAATTAGTAATTATAACTGAGTCTAGATCTTTGTTATGAGCTAGAATATTAAAATGTTCATCTGTTAGGTTATTTACAGAGCAATAACAAAGATATTTAATCTGTATATAATGTAAAACAAGTATGAATCAATTAATGCACTCGTCTGTTATCCCCTCCAAAATAATTAGTTGGCAAATGTATGCTCTTTTACAAACAAATAATGCCAAATGTTCATTTTTCCTGCCTCTAACATGAGGATTTATTGCTTTACTCTGTTGGAGAGCATATAAATAATTAATGCAATAAAAATATTAGTGCATTGATTCTTAAAGTCGACTGTACACAACATTTCTCTGCCTCTCAGGCCGCCTTGCAGGATTCAGAGACCCTGCTCGGCCTTGTGCAAATTTCCTCTTTATGGCTGGTGGCTTGTGGTAATTGAATGCCTTTTGGTTTGATGTGGGATGTAAACAGGAACCTATCGTGGCTGAATTTCCTCCGGCGATCCCAGTGAAATGGTCGCGAGGTGATTGGAGAGGGTGGTGGTGTGAAAGAAGAAAAGCACGAGCGGACACGGGAATAAACATTACAGAGTCGAGAGGGAGCTGAAGTTCACTGGTCCAGATGAAGCGTTTAGATGCTGCTGCACAGAGCAAACTGCCTCTAACACACAGGAATCACATCACAGCTCTGCGGCTCCCAAACTTTTGATTTGACTTCAGCGACTCGCGCATCCAGAACAACATAACAAGAACATGTGGAGGTGGAGGGTGGAGTCGAGATAATAGCCCCCTTGGTGTCAAAAGCATCTCTCCAAACATTTCAAGATGCTGCGCTCTTACAAACGTGTGCTAAATTTGAACAGATGTTCTATTTCTGTTGCCGTGGGTGTCCTGTGGGTTTGTTTTGGGCCAGACTGACCGCATTGGCAAGCATCGCCTGTAGTTAGGCTCGTCTAGGCAGCAGTCGGTGCTCTTTTGAATTGAATTAGACCTTTTTAGAGAAAGCAGACGAGCAGAGTGATTGGGTAAAAAGCAAGGATGAGAGGAACATTAAACCGAGGGAGGAAAAGAGTGAGAGATGCTGAGATAAAGAATGAGACAGAAGAAGCAGATTCTGGCCCGTCACACAGATAATGTTTGGATAGAAAGCCGCATTTCTCGCATGCTGTGCAGCAGATATCGCTGGCAGAGAGGGGTGGGAGTTGTTTAGTCATCAGACAGATTGACATTTCCATCTCTGTTGCCTTTGTCTTTACAACAGGCTGTTTTCAGTGAGACACACATTTAGATATTCAGTGCAAAACAAACGGCGTTCTCCTCGTGCAATCAGTAACAATTTGCTGCGAGGGATGGCGTGTGTGAGAGTTTTATCCAATCCTCTGTCTGTTGCAGCTCTGCCTGCCTTCTTGCAGTTGTTGTCAGTGACACTTTTTTATCTTGTTCTCATTCGCTGTCTCATAATGGCTTCAGCGTCATGATTGTGGTTTTCTGCAGCGCCTTGACGCACAAAGCTCTCCGGCTCACAATGGGAGCTCATGTGTGCTGCATTATGATGAAGTTGCTGCCTCAGGTTCCTCAAATGCAGGACGGATGGGGTTTTTTTTGGTATTATTTTGGAGAAGGGAAGGAATAATTTAAGTGTGTCTTAAGCCTGAAATTCATCTAAATCATGCGAGTTGTGTCAGATTTTGAGTCACAGTCAAAACACAAACATGAGGAAGTACAAGAAGCTTTTTCTAGAGCTTATAGTTTTGATAGCGGTTTGATCTTTGGCCTCAGCTTAATATGAAACTGTTTGCACAAAACCAGATTAGGACTGAAGCTGATGATTATTTTGATTAGGCTGTACATAAATCTGCTGATCAACATCGTCATTTGGCCGATAAAAGACATGACAAAACAGTCCAAGGTGACGTCTGTTTGGACCGGGAGTCAAAATCAAGCAGCAAATGATAAAATCCGAGAAACTGAAGCCACTCAGTTTGTCATTTTTTCTATTAGTCAGTGATCAAAACAGTTCCGTGTTAATTGACTAATCAGTTCGTCACCTACTCTGGATGATGTTTTTGTCACAACACTGGTGGCATCACACCCTCAATCTTCTTGGTTAAATTTACAGGCATTGTTCTTGCTTTTCACCTCACTTTTTAAACCCTTTAATGAAAGCATTTTGACGTGTCGCAGTTTTACTTTAGTCTCCTTCGACTTTGCTTCGGGTTGGACCACCAGCGGTCCAGCTCTGACCTTACGCCAAATAACACTGCAGATAGAGTTTCAGTGAGACATTCAAGGAGCCACCAAAGTACGCAACGCTGAACAGACGCTGTCACGATACTTGTAACGTGAGCATGCGTGCCCCCAAAATTATGCCTGGCTGCGGCGGCGTTCGATGGTTGCTTTGGCATGTTGTGCTGATCGGACGTGTGTTCGTAAATAGGCGGCGGTCAGAAGGTGTTTCTAGATGATCTGAGACAGATGTAGGTCATCAGTTTTAGGTCTCGTAAAACTCGAGCCAAAGTGAGAAATCGACACGACTTTCACTTCTCAGTTCCAGTGCCAATCTTCGACGTGCTAATATTTCGTGCATCTCTTAAATGCTTTGTTTTTTAAGCTCACTTAACTGTGTGACAATTTTAAGCTTCACCGTCACTCGGTTTGAGCAAAAACCGCTTCGAAGGGGCTTTGATGTTCTCAGTTTCTCACATGCAGCCGCACATAGAATCTTAAGTTTGAGGCCAAACTAGTGGTCATGAGTTGAGAGCATTCGGTATGCAGTCGCCTCTGTCTTCTGGCATTGTGCTTAACTGAACTGCCTGTGATGTTTTGACACCGAAGGACGCACTTGTAAATAAGGTTTATCAAGGCTCTGCTGCGCTTTCATGGTACATTCTCATGCAGCAAATATCACTCAAGTAATCTGCAACAAAATGAACTGGCAGTGAGGACGAAGTGGGTTTAAAAAGAAACTGAAAGGATGTGAAATGAATAACACATCAAGCCTGCCAGCTGCTTGAACCTCGGCCAGTGTCTCCCTCCTGTTTTGGAATATGAGCTACTGCATCCTTTTTGGCAAAGTCTAATGCAGAAATCAGACATTTTATTGTGGTGTTTTTTCAAGCTAAAGCCACTAATATCTAGAGTTATGACCGTGAAGGCAGTTGTGAAGTCAATTTTGCAGTATATATACATTATAGGATGCTCCAGCAGGCAGTAGAGAAACAAAATATGGTTTTCAGCTTCAGTGTTCATGTTAAATTAGGCATCAAGGAGCGTGCAAGTGCAGACCAGAAAAGTGCAAGAGTTTTAAACGATTACTGAGCAGCAAATGTGTGTTGCTAGACTGCAGTAATCATTCAACATTGAGCCCAGATGAAGCAACGCTAAATTACTGATATATTGCTCACTTAAATAGCAAAAAAAACAAAACAAGAAAGAGCATTTGTGATGTTGCAGTCCTCTAAGTCATGTGTCTGTGTGGTGCAGCCCTGAAATCAAAATTCAACTTAGGTTTGAGCTGCAGCCTCCTGACGAATCTGAACCTGGTAAAGTTGTCATCCTCAATATGTTCTCACAGCTGAGACGAAACATGGTTTTGATCTGTGGGTGAATATCGGATTGCAGGTCTCATAATTGGCTGCCTGTTATGTCGAGAATGGCTCCTCTCAGCTCAGCAGCCCGGTCACAGATGCATCACGTTTCATCATGAATGTGTCATTCATAAAGTCACTATCTGCCATCGGGTCCCTTTCAGTCGCCCCATCGGTCCTCCTCCTTCAGCCCGCTTCTGTTCTGGGATTATGTGCAGGACTCTTGGGTTGAGATTTACCTGCAGGATATAAATGGAGACTTGTGTCCGTTACGTAAGCGAAGCAACAAGATGTTCTGGGATGAATGCCGGGTGGATGGAGGGCCTTGGATTCAAACAGCAAGAAGCATTCAGCGACAGTGCAGCACAAAAATACTGCTGATTGTCTGTCGCAGGGAAGTAGCAGAGAGAACATTGCTTCAACATTTAGAAAACTGCCATTTTTGTTATTTGCTGGAGCTCTAAGAAAGTACTTGGTCAGACAAGCAAATAATCATTTAATCCATAAAGTGTGGGGGGGGGAAAAGGCAGATTTTCTAAGACCAACTTGACTTTTTCAAGGTTAATTGATTCATTTTTATTGACATTTTTGTACCTGGAACCCCTGAATTGTTTGGACATTTTTGCTTCTTGAAAAACATGATTTCCATTTAAATCAGGCCATTAACTAATATATTTAATTTAGGCAAAGTTCTGTATGAGCACTTGCACCAAATTCATGTATTGAAATAAGGATTGCTTGTTATTATTTTGGTACCAATATGAATGTTGTAATTTGTTACCCAGAGCTGAATGCTTGCCTTTTTTTTTTTTTTTGACTTTAAATGAAACCATGATTCATATTTAATGGCAATTAGAGGTGCAATTAAACTTTTGGCAACTCACCAAACAGGATTTATCAACTGTTTTGTTAGTGATTGAGGGTTTTTTTTTTACTTTTCCGAGCAAAAATGCCAAACATGTTCTGGTTGCGCCTTATTTAAATGTGAGGCTTAATTGGTTTTGGTGTAATTTAT